ATAGATATAGAGATATCGATGGTTTTAATACTGGCTTAAAACCTATTTAAATGATTGAAATGCTTTGTCTATGCTTGCCCAATAAAGAATGATTGTCAGCTTTCCAGTCTGACAGATGAATCCCCATTCGGTTAAGCATGAATCAAGTAAACAAACAAAAGAATTGCCAAGGGATCCACTTCATTGTCATCTTCTTGAATATTTGGATGCTGATCTAAAAATGATGTGTTTATGTGCATGTGGAAAAGAAATTTAGAGAAACATCTAGAACAACGCCCCCCAACCTTTTGGACACCAGAGACTGGTTCTGTGAAGAGGGGTTTTTACATGGACCAGAGGGGGCGTAGTTTCACATATTGCCTGTATCCCATGGATGGGGCTTTGCTTGTTTGTGCGGCCCGGTTTCTGGCATGGCGGGGCCTGGTGCCAGTCCATGGACCAGGGATTGGAGATCCCTGATCTAGAAGCCTGCTAAATTATGAACAGCTCAAAAGACTGAAACAAGATTATATATGTATTGAAGTGATATATAAGCAAGAAAAATCAGATGCCCAGATAAAAGATAGCAGCGAGCAGTAGTGGAATCTCCTTCAGTGATCTTTGAGAAATCATGGAAGACCGTCATGGTGCCAGAGGATTGTAGAAAGGCAAATGCTGTTGCTATCTTTAAAAAAGGGAGGGGGGTTGTAACTACAGTCTGTCTGCTTGATGCAGATATTTGCCTTAATTTTGAAACAGAAGATCAAGCAGTAAATCAGTGAGCATTCAAAAAAGTCTGCAATGCTTGGAAGGGGCCAGAGTAGGTTTATCAAGAAAAAAAAAATCATACGAAATCAATCTGATCTTCCTTTTTTTTTTTTATAGAGTGAGTGACCAGTGTAGTTGAATGTGGATGTAGCATGCCTTGACTTCACCAAAGTAGAGAAAAATGGCAAAATAGAAGGTGGATGATATTATCGTTATTTAGCTGATCAATCATATCTAACGAGAATTGCTGGGAGATAAGCAATACTTAATTCTGCAAATATTGTTTCCAATTTAAAGATCTTAATTTTGAACCAAAAAGAAACAAGAAGTCCTGCTGTACATTTTCAGAATGTTGATTTACTAGCTCCCACTTTCATCAATCTTCTATTATCTGGTTTTGACAGTATATATACAGGTAGTCCTCGACTTTCAACAGCTCATTCAGTGATTGTTCAAAGTTACAGTGGCACTGAAAAAAGTAACCTAACTCTTATGACCATCATAGCATACCCATGGTCATGTGATTTGCATTTGGATGCTTTACAACTGGCTCATATTTATATTATTTAACCAATTCCAATGTCCTGGGGTCATTCGTGACCTTCTGACAAGCCAGATTCACTTAAGCATGATGTTGCTAAGTTAACAATTGCAACAAATGTGGCAAGAAAAGTCGTAAAATCGGACAAAACTCACTTAATTTCTCACTTAGCAACATAGATGTTGAGCTCAAATGGGGTCGTAAGTCGAGGACTACCTGTATTTTGTTTCCAGTGCTTTGAGAAATATTTCTGATCAAAGTTCTCCACCTGCTGGACATTGTTTGTAACTAACATGGTATCTTTAAGACAGCACTGTACTGTAAAATAAGGATACATTGCTGAAAGTGAAGTAAAGTGCCCTCTAGCTGTGCTGTACCAGAACTCCATATTTACTAGTTTAACCATAGTTTAGATACAATTCTTTTAAAAATCAGATTTTATGGTTTGAAATTTGGCATAAATCAGATAAGTAGACAATCTGATATTAAAATGGAAACAGGCCTTTTCTCCTTGAGCCACCAAATTGAAGTTCAAAAAAGTATAGGAACAGGACATGTTGGCTTGATTTCCATAATTATCATTCATATCACTGTAATAGAAGATACAGAATTCTGTCTGAGTGGGTAAAATGTAATCCTTTTAATCTTATTGGAATATCATTATCAAGTAAATGCAAGACCTAGTTTCTTTATACATTATTCATAATGAAAAGAAAAACCCCTGAATGATGGAATACTTCACTCAATAGTTGTAACTGTGAAAAGGATCTTAGAGTCCTAGTGAGCAATCATTTAAATATGAGCCAGCAGGGTGCTGCAGCTGCCAAAAAAGTTCTAGGCTGCATAAACAGAGGGATAGAATTAAGATCACGTGAAATGTTACTACCACTTTATAATGCCTTGGTAAGGCCACACTTGGAATACTGCATCCAGTTTTGGTCTCCACAATGTAAGAAAGATGATCTAGAAAGAGTGCAGAGAAGAGGAACAAAGATGATTAGGGGACTGGAGCTAAAACATATAAAGAACTGTTGCTGGAATTGGGTATGTCTAATTTGATGAAAAGGTGAACTGGGGTGACATGATAGCAGTGTTCCAATATCTTAGGGGCTGCCACAAAGAAGAGGGAGTCAAGCTATTCTCCAAAGCACCTGAGGGCAGGACAAGCAATGGGTGGAAACTAATCAAGGAGAGAAGCAACCTAGAACTAAGGAGAAATTTCCTGACAGTTAGAACAATTAATAAGTGGAACACCTTGCCTCCAGAAGTTATAAATGCTCCAACACTGGCAATTTTTAAGAAGATTGGATAACCATTTGTTTGAAATGGTATAGGGTTTCCTGCCTAAGCAGGAGGTTGGACTAGAAGACCTCCAAGGTCCCTTCCAATTCTGCTATTCTATTCTAAATGTGAAAGATCTAACAGTGAAAAAGATACATAATCATTTATACATTTGGAACAAATTCTGACTCACTTTTGATATTCTGAATTCCAAGTAATAATTTAAGGTTATAAAGCCATGGAAACTGTAGGCTAAAATTAAGGATGAGATATTGAAGAAGATAACACATATAGATATATCCTGGATGTAATTATGATGTTATACTTTACTGTAATTTATTTCTTTGTTTACTATGAAGCCTCTTCCGTGAGATCACCACTGAAATGGGTGGTTTTAATGGCTCCAAGACTCGGTCAGAAATAAGAGTTTCCATCATGGTAGGATCATAGGAATGCTATAGCAAATTGCAAGAGGTATAAAGTTTTGTTATTGTTATGGGTGATTGGGACATAAACCGCACAGATATACAGGAACACTGAAATTACAGGGATATTTGAAAATCATAAATCCTGTAAGAATTTTAAAAATAGGTAAGGTTGCAAAGGAAGATGGTGAAACTGGAGAAGCCATAAACTATGGTAATAAATGATTATAGTGGTTGGGAAATTTGTGTGTGAAAGTGTGTGTTAAGGCAGTATTTGTGCTTGACAAGTGGACATATGAAAAGAGAAAAATTAAGAAGAGTGAAAAAATCATGCAAAGGTTAGTTTGTTACGTATACCTGGAAAGATGTTGGCAACATCAGAAAAATCTGAGAAATAAAATGCACAAAATTTGGGAAGTGCAGTGAAACTCTGTTCTGGGCTGTGAATGTACAGGCCAGATTTTTGCTTTTCGACAAATCAGAGAGGAAGGTATGAATGTATGGAAAAAATGTGTTATCTGTTAATTTAAAAAAAGTATATGATTCCAGAATGGTATGTATGAATGTGGTACTGAAGTTTTCTTGCTAAATGGAATAAAAGTAATATATGATGGAAGTGAAGCATCCACAACATAAATAGAATGTTTACCAGATAGCTAAAAATAACATTGAGATCTGTGATGATCCTTTGGTTGTTTAATGATTTTACAGATAAATGTATAAGTAGTACTTGTGGTATACAGATGATGCCACATGGTTGGCTGATAGCCTAAAATATTTGCAGCAAATATTATAGAGACTGTTCGTTGCAATAAAAATAATGCATCTGAAAATGAATGTATCAAAAGTTCAAGTTATAAATTGAAAACTATTAGAGCAAGTAGAGTGCCACGGGAATTTTACTAGTTCCCCTATAGTTGATTTGTTAAGAGAGCATAACCAGAAAAGTGTGTCTCTGCTTCTGTGGCTTTTGATATTATTAACTAGGATATGAAGAAAGAATAAATAAGGCGAGAGGAATGGAATGAGGAGAAAGTCAGGATTGGATGGAGTTCATGAGATACACAGAAATAAAAAGATGAGATTTTAAAAATGAAAGGCAATATATGAACTAGTGTATGGACCCAGTGAAAATTATTTACCAAGACAGAAAGTTATGGAGAGGTATAGCTAATAATGTTGGTGTAAACTAGATTTTAACTAGAGTTTCTCAATTTCTTTTGTTAACTCTTAGTTTTTTCCTGTACTTTGCAAACATCTCAAAATGGAATAGTATAATTCATATACTGTATATCTATACTGTATGTGTAAGAAAAAAAAATCTTTTTAACTTGTATCCTGGAATCAATTTGCATGTATATTCAAGCTAATCTGAATTATTAAGTTTGTAACATTGTGCTTGCTGTTGAGTGCAACAATAATAAAAGAACAAAACAGATTTGGTTTAACATTCGTTCTATTAAACCAAAACAGCAGGTAGGCATATTAAAATTCTCAGTTGTCTGTGGTAGGGTAATTCATTTAATAAGCAACCTATACTTTTAAGTAAATCTTTAATAAATATATGTATCTCAAGCGTATCTCAAAAGAAATATAAGAAATTGCTTAACACTGATCTTTGATCTAACATAGTATTATCTACTCTTAAGATAGTTTTTTAAATATATTAGCGTTTCCCCCCCCCAATACTTTTGAAGTTGGGTATGATAGATAATGAAAGTGAAGCATCCTGCACTCAAGATAATCTCATTTTGTACCAAAACACAATATATAATTTAATGTCTAATATGGGAAGTTTCTGTACATGTGAACACCGAATGCATGCTAAAATTTCATCTGAATTAACTACATCTTTAGGAGTACCTGTTCAAAAAACAAAACCTTTATGCTTTGTATGCAGTGTCTTACATATTCCAAGGTTCTATTTGATACAATTATCAATGTAGTTCTATATTAAATCTCACGAAACCCTAGCATTATAGATAATAATTTTGCACTTGTCTTACCTTTTTGTGTTTGTAATAATACAGGGAGCCATCATGCTTTAATACAAACCACCTCTTTCTCCAGCCCTTCAGGATACCAGAGTGAGTCTGTTTGTGGAGGTATCCTCGACATGTTGGACGAGGGATGTTGGGGCAACGGCTGATATCAGAACCCACCAATAAGTTCAAGATATCAGGACCTGGAATATAATAGCAAATTAAAAAATCAGGTTCTTCTATTGCACATAAATAATTACTTACGACTAGCACATATGTGTGAGGGGAACCTTTACCTTTTTAATTACTTTTCTTACGAAGTAATTAAAACAGAAAATGTTTTATCCTAGTTTAGTATACTAAAGCTTTACTCTAAAGTTCTAAATGTTGAGAAAATATCTTGTCAAAACAGACTTAGTGAATTCTATTCCTATAAAAGCTTCAATTGCTTTTTAAAAAATCTGACATTTATAAAAAATTTGGCGACTATCAACCTTACTGATGCTGATTTATTATGTACAGCAAGACACTATTCACTGAAAATGTATCGAGAACTATGCAATATGAAACAAACAAACTTAGCTAGTGATACGGACAGCATTTTCTATAATAAGGCTGTTTCTGATAATGGGACTGTTACTAGAAAACATCGTTTTTCTCTGTTATTGTCCTTCAAACTTTTTAATGCCATTGCTGCATTATTTATATTAATGTTTCCTATAGATCCAACCTAAATACAGTGTGTCAAAACATTTCTCTGGCTTGCAATGATTCTGCAGGGTTCTTCCCCGATGATGGCTGCAACCTTGAACTTGGGGTAATAGAAATTATGATAGGGTGATACCCCTCCTCCTTTTGATTTATGCTATCTGTTATATTCTCTAAGTGCCTTATTTGACTTGGTATCTCTAATCAATTTATTTAGAAGGTCAGAAAAAGAAAAATGGAATGTATTGGCATGAATATGAATGGCATGTTTAGTTAAAGACTGGCTTCAGTTAGGAAAAGATGTTTGGTTGGTAATGGAGCTAATAACGATTATTGCAAACAAAAATATTTGCTTTTATAGTCAATTATTTATATGGGACATTATTTTGCTGGGCTTGTCCAACAGCATCTGACAGAAAGTAAAAGTGAAAAATATTTTAATAGCAGGTCGAGCACTTAAAGGGGTCCTTAACAAAATGAGTTACTATGACTGAAGTCTCTTTCCTCAAATATTGAAGAAGCTTCATCTCTATAGGGCTGTTTTGAGGGGTTTTTCATGTTGTTTCCTAAATGTTCCCTCACAGTTCCTGCATTGTCTCACTGTCTCGCTGCCTGGAGGCCGTGTGGGTCTGGATGGGGAGAAATAGGCTCAGACTCAACCCTTCCAAGACCGAATGGCTGTAGCTTCTGGCATCCCGATATAGTCAGCTGGTGCCATCGCTGACTATTGGGGGTGAATCTCTGCCCCCCACAGAGAGGGCTCGCAATCTGGGTGTCCTCCTGGATGCACGGCTGTCTTTAGAAGAGCATATGACGTGGCCAGGGGGGCTTTTTATCAGGTTCGCCTGATTCGCCAGTTGCAGGTCTTTCTGGACCGGGACGCCTTGCGCACGGTCACTCATGCCCTTGTCACCTCCCGGCTGGACTATTGTAATGCTCTCTACATGGGGCTCTCCTTGAAGAGCACTCGGAGGCTCCAGCTGGTCCAGAATGCGGCCGCGCGGGTGGTTATGGGCGCAACCCATTGTGCCCATGTGACACCCCTCCTGCGCGAGCTGCACTGGCTCCCAGTGGTCTTCTGGGTGCGATTTAAAGTGTTGGTTACCACCTTTAAAGCGCTCCATGGCATAGGACCCGGGTACCTTCGAGACCAACTTCTGCCACCAATAGCCTCCCACTGGCCAGTCCGCTCCCACAGAGAGGGTCTCCTCAGAGTGCCATCAGCCAAGTTATGTCGGCTGGCGACACCCAGGGGGAGGGGCTTCTCTGTGGGAGCCCCTGCCCTGTAGAATGAACTGCCCCCGGAAATGCGTAAGATCTCCGACCTCCGTGTATTTCGCTGTGCCCTCAAGACCCTGCTGTTCTGCCAGGCCGGGCTATCAATGTAATGATTTTTAAATTGGGTGTTTTAAATTTTTGGGGTTTTAAATCTGAGCCGATATTATTTAATAATTTTAATTATTTTTAACTGATGTCTGTCTTTGTGCTTTTAATAGGCTGTACACCATCCTGAGTCCTTCGGGAGAAGGGCGGTATAGAAATAAAATTATTAATTAATTAATTAATTAATTTATTGTGCCAGCATTCTTAGCAGAAGAATTATCTATACGAGTACAGGTGTGTGCTGACAACCTTGGAAAAGTCTTCAAACTCATCATGCTGAGCCTTCCAGAATATCCAGCTGTTGGATGTGTAAGCAAGCTGCTTCAGTGCTTCACACATTTTATAAACCTACCTCCCCCAAATATTTTACATATCGTAATAGATATTTTTAATGCAAAAAAAATTAAAAAATGACAATTACTGTACATGTTTGAATATTTCTAAGATCTCCTCTAAGCATCTCTAAATATACTTTGAGTGTCTGTGACTGTCATGTGGAAATTATTCTTTGAAACACAATCCTGCCATGTCTGCAGTACTGTATGTATGTGTATGGGTTTGACCAAAATAGCATTGTGCTGTCAAAATTCACACGCAGAACTTCCAATCAAATGTGCTTTTGTTATTCCAATAAGAGGAGTAGGAACCTGAAGTCATCCTTGACAGAATCTCATAAAAAAAGAAAGATTTTTGAATAGCAGTACCCAAGAATAGTTTGACTTTTAAATATATATCCTAAAAGAAATTACATATTAATATGAATGTTACTGTGCTTTGGCTGGTAGAAAAGAGCTCGTATCATTCACATTCGGGGAATAAGAGCAGCGTATTCTCAAACTTCCTCTTAATAATTAGAAAAGGAATTCTAGTTTTTCTAAAGAAGAGTGTGAATTCCATCTCCACAATTAAAAATTTGATATATACTAAAATAAATTTGTCAGTATCTTAATAACTTGTATTTGTTAAACATTTTTATCTCTGTCAAAACAGTGCTACTGAGAAATTAAAATCCCTTGGGTATAATTAGCCCTCATCCAAGAATAGTTTGAATTTTAAATATATATCTCCTAAAAGAAATTTCATATTAATATGAATGTTATTGTGCTTCTACTGGTGGCAAAAAACCCCTTTTTTCTTACTATCAGAAAAAATTTCTTTGTTGGCTGAAGAGCTAAGAGCTAATGCATTAATTCAGCCAATGATGAATTTTCCTCCAGAGAAAATAGGAGATTGATGTCTCGGACACTCTTCTCAAATCTCATCTATCTGAATCCTAAATGTGCTCTTTCTGTCTGACATTTGGCCTAGATATAAGTGATTCTGTAGGAAGGTAAAAATAGTAATTGCTGGCACATACAGAAAAATAATTTGTTAAAAAAATCTAATTCACATTTTCCTCTTGGATCATTACTACTATCACATCAGTTACCATGTGTCTAAATCTGTCCTAATTGTCAAAGTCAGTTTTTTTCAGTGCACCAGAATGGTATTATTCAAAAATAATTTTGTCCTCTCAAGAGTTTTATAGATATGAGATATTTTGTTGTTGTTGTTGTTAGTTACAAAGTCGTGTCCGACCCATCACAACCCCATGGACAACATTCCTTCAGACCTTCCTGTCCTCTACCATCCTCTAGAGTCCATTTAAGCTCACACCTTCTGCTTCAGTGACTCCATCCAGCCACCTCATTCTCTGTTGTCCCCCTCTCTTTTGCCCTCAATCTTTCCCAGCATTAGGCTCTTCTCCAGTGAGTCCTTCCTTCCTTCTCATTAGGTGGCCAAAGTATTATATGAGATATATTTATGGTAATTTCAACTTCCCTGACAATAGAAATGGCAGCTGATGTTTTCTAAACTCTTTTTGATATGTTCCTTGCCTGTTGTAATTTTTTTGGGGGGGAAATCTCAAAAAAGGAAAAGTTAATGAACTGTAAAGTTAAAATTACTTGTGTTTAAATACTTAAGGTAATGGCACACACACACACACACACACACACACACACACACACACACATATTTCTTCAACTGGGTTTTAAACTTAGCTTTTGTTAGTCTCTGCTAACATCGTCAGAGTGTAAAAACTACCATTGAAGAGATATTTGCCTTTATACATAATCAATCAATTTGGCCATTTTGTGCGTGATAGGCCCATCCACCCACCTCCCACCTATAATTAGTTCTGTTGTTTTTACTTCAGACATGTTAATCGATAGAGTTTCAGCTCCTGTTGCTTCCTCCCCTATCGCAAATTGCTTGGGCTCCCCATCCCCAGAGAATGATGCTGAACTGTCAGATATTGCTTTGACAGCATTCTTTCTGGCTCCTTCCCACACACCACTACTCCTCTGCCTCACAGGCACATTTGATATATCAACCAAATTTGTTTGTTGCCCGTGATCTTGTAATTGGTCCAGCCCGCTCCCCGCTCCCCATGTCTATTATGGCTTGAAGCTGCTCTGCCGGGCCCTTATGTATCTTACTTACGAAGAAGTAAGAAAATAGATAATATACCTTTACAGGGAGGATACATAAGATATGGGTGTGGCCTACTGATGAAAGCAAATGAGCTGGAAATAGATCTATATAGGTCTCCCACCTAGCAGGAAGAGCTTGCTAGCTGCTAGAAAAGAAAAAAGCCCAGAATCGACAGGGAGTTAGTTGTCTACTATTTTAGACAAATTGACTGTCCAATTTCTTCTTAAAAATCTCTAGTGATGGAGCACCCACACCTTCTGAAGGCAAACTGTTCTACCGATTGATTGTTCTCACTGTCAGGAAATTTCTCCTTAATTCTAGGTTGGAACTTTCCTTGACAAGTTTCCATCCATTATTTCTTATCTTAGTATACTGCTCCATGTTGTGAGAAAGAACCATTTGTGACTAAAGAAACCATATTTTGGAAAACATAGAACTCATCCACAAATAGGAAGTTTCTAGAAAGTATGTGAATGGAGAATGTAGATAGGACAAAAATCTTAGAGAAGTGGCGAACCAAAAATGACCCAATAGGACCTTATCCACTATTGTAAGGAAGATAGTTTGAAGGTAGAGAATTGAAAGACTCATGAATATAAATTCTTCATGGCATTTTATTGAGAATAAAAAAGGCTGAAGAAAATAATTTGTGTTGAATTGAAGGAAGCTGAATATATTAGATACTATGAGTCATACTGCACATAGTAAGAAAATCAGGGACTTAATATTTACTGTACTTCGATGTTGCAGAAAAGATGCTTGCCCAATATTTATTATTAATGCTGATATTTGTGGTCGAGTTAGATGCCCCTCATTTTTTTCTATTTTTGCAAACTGTGCATTTTTTCCCATTGCTGAGAAGATTATGCCCTCAATTTGAATAAGCACAGTCAGAGCTAAACCAGAGACTTTTTGTATTGATTGTGATCCCTTCACTGGGTGAGTAACACAGTCTGAAAAACCAACCCATCATTTTACCCCTTGATTTGACTTTTTATTTCAACTTTATGCTATCAAAACAGTGTTCATTAGAATATGTCTTAAACTTTTAAAAAATTTTCAGGATTGTGGTCTCCTGAAATATGAGATGAAAGTTTTAATGATGGTAATGCAAGGGTTTTTAAAAAAGATGTATGAAATTTTGTAACTCTGTGCTGCAGCTATTATTTCTGGTTAAATTTGCATAAACCCAACGTCTTTTATCATTGTGGGTGTCCACACCATTTACAAATCATCCGTTAAAAGTTCATATTTTTGAGCAGACTTACCCTTTTTTGCTAGGTTTGCTGCCTCTGAATGAGGCATGCTGGTGACATCTGTGCCATTGACAGCCATCACTATGTCTCCAATCTGCAGGCCTGCTTCTTCTGCTGTACTATCTGCCACAGAATGGAAAAAAATGCTCAGCATTTAGCAATATTCGTATAATACTGTATCAATACAAAGGAGACAGCCTCATTCCCATTACATCCACCATTGCAATTCACTTCTCAAGAAGTTGGAAAAGTCATTCCTAAGATTTTCCCTTGTTTTGTATAGGCAATCCAAGTTGAACTTGTCTAGTATTGGGGTCATGCAGACTGCTGTCTGTTGTTCTCTGCTTGAGGTTGATTAAAATGAAAGGGAGGAAGGGGATTTATATGCTCTCCCCCTCTTTTATTAGGTCAGACTCACAGTCTAACCTGAACAGAATTCACTTGATTTTTAAGTGCATGAGATCATTACACAACGACATCATGGATTATCTGAAAAAGCTAGAATATGAACAATGAACCTTGGCTCCATAGTACAATCCTGGTTTCATATTGTGACATAAAAAAAGAATTATTGCAGAGGCAATGGTCGAAGAAAAAGAGCAATAGAGAAAGGATTATTTTTTCTTCGGGGTACTTCTTGAATTTCCCTAGGTTATCACTCCTTACCATACTCTAACATTCAACCCATGGCAAAGTACAAAGCAAAGCAGAGATCCCTCTGAATCTCACAGACATACTTAAAAGACAATGTGATCTGTGGCAGGTTGCTTGGTTAGGAAATGTGCCCATTGCCCAGAAATACCAGGTGAACTGAATTAACAAAAAGCACCTGGTGATTCTGCTTTTTTTTTTTTTTTTGCTTTTACCTTGATGTGAAATCAAACACAAAATGTTGAGGATTGGAAGGTGAAGCTCTGAGTGCATGTTTTTATGATTTCCCTTAATGGAAGGAGCTGGACAGCTCATTGGAGAACAAATACAGTTAGCCCTCAACTTACAACCATTAGTTGAGTGACTGTTCAAAGTTACAGTGGCACTGAAAAAAGTGACTTATGACCCCTTTTCCAACAATCGTAGCAGCATCCCTATGGTCATGTGATCAAAATGGCAACTGGCAGATATTTATGATGGTTGCAGTTTCCCAGGGACATGTGATCATCTTTTATGACCTTCTGACCAGCTAAATCAATGGGGAAGCCAAATTCACTTAATAACCATGACTTAATAACTTAACAACTGCAGTGATTCACTTAACAATATTGGCAAGAAAGGTCATAAAAATGGGCAAAAGTCATTTAACAATTGTCTTGCTTAGCAATGGAAATTTTGGGCTCAATTATGCTCATACATTGAGGACTACTTGTAGTTGTAGGAAAACAAGATTGCATTTCTGAGACCAGAGGAACCTGATGGTTCTATGGAAGTGTTCAGATATTTCTTCAGGAGCTCAAGGCAGCATATATAGCTCCAAGTATTCCCTATAATAAATTGGACTAAGAAGACAGTAATACAATTGTTGTCCCTACAGTAACATTGCTATTAGATAAACTGGGCTAAGACTGATTGACACAAAATCACCTAGTGAGCTTCAGTGACTGAGAATGCAATTGAATCTGGGTTTCCCTAGTCTTAATCTAACACCTTAACCACTTTGCATTCCCACAGACGTTAGATGCTAAACAAATGTTAGAAGAATTGAGAGCTTGAAAATAATTGTTATGGATAAGCAATGGTTGGTGGGATTTCCAAGCATATAAAAATATGTCTGATCCAGAAGTATTAAATTATCCTCTGGATTATTATCAGTAGCTTAAATATGCATGTACATTATGTCTGTGGTACAGATGGATGTAGCCTGCTTTTATGTGAAGACATGCTAGGGACAGAAGGAAATGTAGAAAATATGTTCACTTCAGGTCTGTCAATTCACTATGATATGAATTATTCCTCAGTGTTTCTCAGAATAATGTTCTTCCTTTGTTTTGCTTGGCAGCATACAATTACATGTCATACGGTAGTATTCTGAAGTATTTTCTTCTAGAAAACACAAATACAGAGGTCCTTAATTAATATAAGTAATCTAAATTTTCTTGTACCCCATGCCTTAGAAAGTGCATCTGAACAGTGTAAAGCTCTTTTCTGAAGGAGTGGAAGAAAAAATCAGAAGCTAGTAGAGAAATGACAGGCGCAGGAGTTCTGGGAGCTTGTGCTCTTTTCATAAAATCTCATCAAATAATATATCTTAAATTATGTCAGATTATGGCTCATCAAATAATATATCTTGCATTTGACTGATACATCCAAAAATTTGACATTACATTTCCAAAGCCATTTCAATATTTTTGAAGGTTTTTTTGGGGGGTAACTTTTATTATTATCACCATCTCCATTTACTGCAGTTTCGAGAAAAGAAGTCATTTTGATGGACCTGGCTCATGGTTTATTCATTCCTGCCATTTAGAAAATTTTAAAAATGCCAAAAAGGAATTTCAAAGAAAGCATGTTATACTTCTGAATTTTTCTGGGTTTTACTTGTGAATGTCTTTTGAAACTGCTTCTCAACCCATAAAACTTGTATAATCCACAGAAAATTCTTCACACAACAGATCTGAGGTGCATCTGTGGATAATGAAAGGTAAATAAATACCAACAGTGCAGTCAGGAACTGGATCTCAACCAGTTTCCATCAAAGATACAGTATCCTACAGAATTGTAGGCGTAATGCTAAAACAAGAATAAGATACCTGGTCTACAACTTATGCAGAACCAGCTCAAACATTTGGAAAGTAGTAGATTGCTTCTCTATGCTGTAAAGCAGAGGTGTCAAACTTGTGTTGTCATGTTGTCACGTGACGTATTGTGACTTTTCCTCCCTTCGCTAAAATGGGAATGGGTGTGGCCAGTGAGTGATGTATCCAGGCTGCAGGCCGCGAGTTTCACACCCCTGCTGTAAAGCATGAAACTCCAGCATGGTGTCTTTTCTTCATGTATAGCGATTACAAATATCTATTATCAACAAATAAAACTGAATTTAAGTGAATTTCTAGAAGCAATGATTTCTGCAAGGATAATGTCCACACTTCATATAAATGCAAATAAGTGTAACTAGTGGCCTGAAATCAGCGTTGGTGGACAAGCTATTCAGGTTCTACTTTCAGTTAAGCCTGAAATGTATGTTTTTAAATTCATGTGATGAAGGAAAAGAGAAGAAAGAGTAGGTGGCTCTGAATTTGATACTCCCAATATCAAATATTTTCTAAAGAGAGACATGTCAGGGTGGCAGGTATTCAACTAATCATTTGTTCTGTCAAACTGAATTATCACAAGAAGAGGTCAGATGTTTTAAAAAAACATCTTATTCAAAAAAAGAGACAGGCAAAACTACAAGCAATCCACTTTTTTCCCTAACTGCCAAGGCACACTGACCTTTTTTTGTCATTATCATCATATTTTTTTAGCAGAGTATAAAGCAAAGCAGAGGGGAAGTAATTGCCTCAGGCAACAGCTGACCCTTTTAGTTTGATTAAATGAAAGTCAGAATCAAGGAAGATTCTTCATCCAAAAGTCAGTGGCAAAAGAGAAGAAAACTGCTCCCATAAGGATTTTTATTATTATTATTACAATGGTAGGTCTATTTGCAAGAGTAACAGCAGGATTTTCTTCCATATTATAGAAATCCGATAGAATTCTAAAAAATATGCTTCATTGTAATTGCAATAAAAAGAAATCAGAATTGTTGAAATACCTGCTATCTCTTTGCTGGCTATTTTAAACACCATAACATTTCGAAACTCCTTTGAATCTTTTCATGAAGGAAGGGAGCTTTGGGGATGATCATGTCACTTACTGAAATCCACTTTGGTCACCAAGATGGGTTTTGAGAACTGGATTTGGAATCCCCAAGGATAGTCACCCGTTCCTTTAGGAATCCTCACAGTTCGTTCCCGAACTAAACAGAACAAAGAAAACAAAAGGGAAATAAAATGCCCATGTTCATATTTTTATTGGGCATTTATTGGGCATAAAGACTTTTAGCTATACAGTTTGGGACAAACACCCTCTGAATGGTATGGGAGTAGGAATGGATTTCCAGAGAAAAAAAATGCAGACTACAGGAACCATTAGCACTACTAGGGTGATACTGAGGACACAGATAAACCTCCAGGTGCTTCAATGACTCCCTAAAAGGATGCAAATGACCAGCTGTCTGCAAGGAATATAAACCCTTCCATTCCCCACCATCCTGTCAGAGCTGAAGAAGTTTCTTGGATGAGAAGCTTCAAAGAAAAACAAGAAAGTCCAGTTGCCTCCTGAAAAAGCACCTTTGGGACATTCTTATGAGACACACAGTGTACCCAATAGGTTTCAGAATGGTAACTGTGATTTCATTGAAATACTTAACCTTGTTAGGTACATTTAGGTACATTGTTCAAGTAAATGAGTGGTTATACATATGGACTCCACAGCAATGTCTGGAATGGTTATAACAATAGTCAAGATGATAGCCCTCACCTTTACTTGGTTTTTTTTCATTGCATTTTGTGTAAAAAGAGTGGAGTTTGATAGTGCAGTCCTGGCTACCATCTTGATTTTTTAAATCCTTTCCTACCTTTCACAGATCCCCTTCATATCGCATCCCTGAATATCCTTTTATATCCCTCCTGACACAGTGAGATTTCTTCAATCAATCTATCAACTGTTGTTTTTATAAGCAATAGTATCTTGCAATTGATAATGACAAAAATGTCTAATTTGCTTTCTCTGAAAGCATTATCATATCATGCTTCTTTAAACTTACCAGTGACTGGCCTTTTGCTAAGACATCTGATATTATTGTCTGCATTAGCATCATCGCCTTGGAACACCCATGAAGCTGAGTGGAACATTTCTGTGTAGAATCCTCGCTCTTCACTTTCCCTCACTCTGTGAGGTCCCAGATCCAAGGGACAACCATCTTCTGAATTCACTGGAAAGAGACAAGAATTGGGAAAAGGCAGATTTGGAAAGATCAGATGTTTTTGTTGGTGGCATCAAGAAAGTGACGAAGTTATTAAAAGCAAAAAAGATGAAGAGAAATTAGAATCTACTAGTAAAAAAATGCTTAAAAACAAAAAGGCTCCTCCACCTCCATTTATGTCTTGGTCATGATTTTTCTGCTCATTATTATAAATAAATTGAGTATTTAAATGGCTTGTTCTTTATATCTCTATAAAGTTACATCTTAGTTTTGTTTATTTATTTATATTATTTATTTACAAGACTTATATGGACAGAACTATCTCATACGACGAATGCTAGGTGGCTCACAACAAACCATAAAACATGGTGAAAAACAAAGGTACCAGTCCCCTAGACACCAGACCAAACATTGTTGCAACTCAGCCTTCATCCTGTTGCTATACCATCTTCTTTTATTTCTTTATTACTTCATAAGCTATATTAAATATTTTATTACCTGTATTAAATATTTAAAGTAAAGTAAAGTAAGTAAGTAAAGTAATGTAAGCTACCTTGAGGACTAGATGATTCTGATCACCCTTTGGGCTAGGTCAGTGCTTCCATGTTTAGAAATGATATGTGACCCTGATTAGGGGCTCAAAGTGGGCTTTCAGGAAGAGAGGTCTCAGGAGTGTCCCAATGCTGAACATCTGCATTCTATCAATTGGAGAGAGAGGAGTAAAAAGTTTTGCTTTGATAATTCAGCTTCTCTCCCCTAATTAAACCTTTGATTTGTAACTCGGATATACCTTAGCTGTTGCTATTGCTTCTGTAGTCCCAGATAAGCAGCCAAAAAGGAGGCTTAGCCAGATTCAAATGAACTTAACAAGCAAGTGCATGCAGTCTGGCTAATAAGAAGGCACATATCATTTCAAGTCATTCATTTAAAATAGCTACATCTGTATCACAAAATAAAGGTTGCTATTTTCTTGATCTCAGAATCTAGGACATATTAAATTTCAGGATCGTATAAAACCACATAAAGTTGATCCCAAACACATTTTCCAAGTTTGTTCCATCCTATTGAATTTTTACCAATTATGTAAGGAATGCTTTTGCTCAGATACCTTCCTATTGCTTAGGAAAGCAGATGAGTTCTGAAGGTTTAGTTTTATGAGCCAAAATTCTGAATGCTTGTTAATGTTAAGAATAGAAACCACCAAGCTGTGGATTTTGTGTGGGAAGCAAAAAGGAGAGTCTAAAATAAATAATATCACAAGTGAGGCTTTTGATATTTGAACATACATTTTAACTTTGATTTTTATATGTAGGTTTAAAAAAACAATTTATCAAAATTACTGCTTTTAGATTACTATTCCTTCCATATTAACCCATTTTCTCTTATATGTTTACAAAGAAATATGAATTTATTTGTCTCAACATCATCACCTTAGAAATGTGTGTGTATATATATATATATATATATATATATATTTAATAGTGAACCCTGTGTTATTTTCATTACAGATTAATACAATATAAATATCTGATAATTTCCTCTTATTTAGTACAGAATGTTACAGAAAAACAGAAGGGATCCCCCCCCCTTAGATTTTTCTTCCCATTAACTCCCTTCAAATGAGTTATTCAACATTACCATTGCTGGGTCACAGAAAAGAAAATTACAAACAGACTTTCACATAAAAACCCAGGTGACCTTACCTTTCTGTTGTCCTTTTGACCTGAGAAAGTCCATGTGTTATGCATTGATCTTTATCAAAATCCACTGATTTTAAAGCTCAATGAATATTGTTTATAGTTCCACAGTTAAGGAGAAGAGGAGTTTTCAAGGAGCAGCTTAGATCATATGGATGAATGATTCACAGTTAATTCAATCACTCCAGAAAGCATTCATCAACATGGTGTTACATAAGGGATAATGGCATTCATAACACAGCGCTTTCAAGCAACAAGTTATTGTTTATGTCACAGCACCATGTCCATGAGAGTGTATGACTTAGTCAAGTCTAGCCAAGTTTAAGCAACAACTGCAAAAAAATAGAAAGCTTCAGCAATATATTCTTTTGGGGAAATTATGCTTTTCAAAGACAGTTATGAACTTTATATTTTGGCAAAATGAATAAAAATAAAATATCTTACTTATAATACATTTTCAAAACATTATCTTTTTCCTCTTTTAGACTATTATAGATAGATATAAAGGGCTGGGAGGATTCTCCCCACACCCTTAATCTATGTTTTTATTTTACTGTTTATTTTATTTTTTCCTAATCTATGACAGAAAACCATTGATTTTTCTGTGATATTAAAATACAGCAAAACTTTAGTAATATTTGCTGTCTTCTCCTTATATCCTTAGCATCAGCTATTTAAAACAGTTTCTTTGTTTTGAAGAGCCAGCTTAAAACCTCCCTAATTAAATTGAAGCACACTAAAGAGCTGGATCGTGTCAAAAGGCACTGGGTTGTTCATGTGTAATTACTAGAGTGTAAAAATATTGTTAGTGTCAGGCCTACAGTTCTCTTCTAACATACAGCTTAGGGATTTCTGTGATGGTTTGTCTAAACTGGTTTGTCTAAACTTTTTTGAATCAAGAAGCATCCTGGGCTCTGAATGATGTGCTAAAGACCCCCCCATAATGAGTCATACATGGGAAGTTGAGAGAGGACTAAAGTTACAATTTACTTCATTAACATTTAACTGTAACTAACATTTTAAAATAGTTTTTATGATTGGTCTTCTATCTTGTATTTATTCATCTCCTCCTTATTCATTTTCCTTTAAAAATTATAACCTAGGAACTGATTTTGGAGGTATCTGGACCTGTAGTGGGTTCCATTTACCTTTGCTACAGGTTTGGAATTGTGCATGTGCGTGCGCTTCGCTCACAGCGCTTCTGCGCATGCACAGGGCATCCGTGATGACGTCCGGGCGGCTCGGTGGAGCCTCCCGCTGCTGCCACTACCGGTTCTCCAGAATCAGGGTGAACCAGTAGAAACCCACCACTGATCTGGAGCCATAGTAAGCTCTTTCATATGGCCCTCATTCTAAACACATTGCTTTATACAATTTTCCCTCTGGACCTGATAAACTTTGAATAAAAAAAATATATTCTGCAATGAGACAACTCCCAAGTGATGAATTTATCTGCAAATCTTTGGCATTTTTTTTTTCATATCATAAAGCAAATGCAGTACTTACTGGATCCTTTGGTGAATCTGCTATTCTTAGAGCTCTTTCTAAATGAAGGGTGCCTTTTGCTGTTTTTGAACCATTTCCTTCGTCTAGCCCAACGGTCTGGTTTTTCTTCCCCTTGAGAACTCTTGTTTGTCCTTGCATCTTTCAGCACTTGGTCCCTTGATAACCCTGTGCTCGTGTCTTTCAGTGATTTAGCTATATTTTGTGGGAGGAAAAAAAGAAACACTCTGTACACCTAACAAGATTTAAAGCCAGATTACCTTTTACAACATTCTACTTTATATAGGTTGCAGATCAGTGGTGAAATCTAAAATTTGTTACTACTGGTTTGTGGGCGTGGCTTGGGGGGTAATGTGACTGGGTGGGTGTGGCCATTTTTTTTTTTACTTTTAAAACCATTTTTTCTACAACCTCTTCGGTAAAGAGGTTGTAAAAAATGTTTTCAAAAGGCTCTGACGATCAGGCAACTCAGCTTGGATCTGCAGAGGCATTTAAAAGAAAAAAAGGGTTTTTTCTTTTAAAAGGCTTTGGAGATCCCAGCTGAGCCACACGATCATCAGAGGCTTTTTTTTTTTAACTTTTAAAAGCATTTTTTCGGCCGAAGAGCTTTTAGAAAAAATGCTTTTAAAAATATAAAAAAAGCCTCTGATGATTGTGTGGCTCAGTTGGGAATGGGGGGGAGAGGCAGGGATTTTTGCTACCGGTTCTCCGAACCACCCGCTTCCATCGCTACCGGATCAGGCGATCCGGTCCAAACCGGGAGCATTTCACCCCTGTTGCAGATATGTTAGCTTAATACCAGTTACTGAAAATACAAACTAAAAGAACTAGTTTATAAAAATGGGAAAGTACCATCTTGAATAGAGTTCCAGTCCGCCAAATATATTTTCATCCTAAGTGGAAGTTACAATGGCTCCAATTATTTATATTCCATATATTTTGGAGGTGCACAGCAACACATTTCCAACATTCTTACGTTCTAAATAAAGGCAATTTGTTCTGTCCCCCGTCCTCACACAGACAAATGCAATATCAAACACACCTGCCAATAATTTATTGTATAAACAGACCAGAATTCCTGGCAGATGAGAGTTCTGGCAGCTAACTGTAAAATGCCTGCCCAGTCCAATTAGTACTCCCAAAAAGCAGGAGAGGCCTTATCTGCAGTCCGTTTCCAGAGTGACAAATTATCCACAAGAGTTTAGTCCAAAATATATCTGAACCAAAGTGCAGGATTCATGATGTGACTCTTTAGAGTTTAAACTTTTGTCCGTCACAAAGCCTGCCGAGCAATCACACCCCCTTTTATCCCTTGTGGGGTGTGGCTCAGTGACTCAGCTCAATCCCTGGCCCTCCCATGCCTCTTCCTTTGCTGCGCACGCTTCTCCCTCCGACGCTGCCTGGGATCAAGCCAGGATTCATCATTATCACTCTCTATCAATGGGTACTCCGAAATGCCTTCCTCCTGGCCCATCCCAGGCTATTCCTCCTGGCCTTTGGATGGAACCTGAGGCATTGCCAGAGAAGAGAGTCCTGGAGAGGGAGGCCTTGTCAGTTCCTCCCTCTCACCTTCTGAGTCCTCTTCCTCCATGAGGACAGGCTCGGGAGTCGGAGTCACAACACAATTATTTCTTCCACTCTTTCAAAACATAGAACAGAATAGAATGACAAAGTTGGAAGGGACCTCGGAAGTCTTCTAGTCTAACCCCTTGCTCAGGCAGGAAACCCTATACCATTTCAGACAAATAGTTGCCCATCTCTTCTTAAAAACTTCCAGTATTGGAACATTCACAATTTCTGGAGACAAGTCAGAACTGCTTTGTGCATTCATGTGCTGTTTTATTTACATATGAAATAGCACTCAAATTCTGCATAGAAAAATAAAAATATTTTGAATATCATTGCTAATATTCCTAAAGCCAACTTAATTTTGGTAATATATGAATTTGCGGTTAATGTAAAATTTATTTAGATGTACTGAAAATATCACTATAAATTAATAGTTGAGGAAAAATATATAACTCATCACATCAGGAACAATATTGAAAACTGCACAGGTTATGTTTGAAGAGTTTCTATATATGAATCAAAAATCTGATGACCATTTTAAAATCATCATGTCCTGTGTCAGTGTCACCTTTGCCTTTGCAGACATTGCCTTTATTGTTTCAGAGAAAGCTAAAATTACTTGCCTATCTGATCAGCTTGATTTACTGGTGAGAATGTGGCTGAGGTCATGACTACATTCATATCTGCTTCCTTTTCTTCATCTCGTTTTTCAGAGCTGGATTTGAATAACGTCTCTGTCTGAACGTCTGCTAAATCACTTCCAGAATGATGAGAGAGACTTATGTGTTGTTCACTGGACAACATCTCTGGATCATCTGTAAAAGAGTCCCCAGCTAAAAGATGCTCAGTCTGTATAGAATAATCTTGGCAATCGGAATCTTCCGGAATGTTTTCAGACATTTTCTGAATGGCAGTACAATTTTGGAATTCATTAACTTGATTTGATTCTTCAGTATCCAAAAGAGGCAACATAAATACTGTTTCCCTTTTGCTGCTGGGCTCTTTTTTTATTGCCAAGCCAAATGAATTTGCCATAGATTTAATGTCACCTGGAATGATGAGCTTCTGTTCCAATTCTCCAGTTATTACAGTCATGACTGATTTTCTCTGTTTTTTTTTCATTTCTTTAGACTCAAAAATACTTTGCAGAAGATTTTCGTTTGACTGTATTACTGATTCTTGACCCTGAATGTCTTCCACAGAAAGCTTAGCAGAAATGTTATTATTGCCACTTGATAGCTTTTCAGAAAGCAAAGAGTCTTGATTTGCAGTTACTTTGTTTGATAGTTTTTCATGGACTTGAACTTGTTGGTCTTTGCTTCTCAGAACTTTCTCACAAGCAAAACCATCTTTTTCAAAGGTAATATGTTCCTCATCTCCTTTTGGGGTTGTTGGTGTCTCAATGGGTCTATATTTCTCCTTTTGAGCTTGACAAGAATTCATAATAGAATGAAAGTCTTCTACTGTCACCTGCCCTGTTTCCTTACTATTCTGTCTGTATTCTAAATAGTTGTCATCCAAAAAAATATTGCTGAATTTGCTTTCTTGTTCCGCATGACACACATTCATATTGTGATCGCATGAAGCAAAAGCGTAACAACGTGAGGATTTAAGATCTGTGAGAGTACCAGACAATGCTGTAAAACTTGAATAAGGTTTTGTATAGCTGACACGTCTATTAGTACTCATTTTATAAGTAGTTACTACTTTGAATGGGATGGAAAGGAGTTTTAAAGATAAAGATGGCATGGAATAAAAACCTGAGTCTCTTCTAAGCTGAGGTAATGACAATACATCAATAGAGGGAACTGGAAAAGAATATCTTCTTATGTTTTTTGACTCCTTGGATGAAATTAGCATAGCAGTCCTTGTTTCAAATAAGCTGTTGTTCCTTATTTGTAGCGCATTACTCATCTCTTTATTATATTTTTTTCTAAAATGGATTTCTTGGGAACTGTAATTTTCTTGTGGGGTTTCTGTAGAATAGCTGAATTTGGAAAAAGCCATTTCTTTATAGAAATCTTTTCCCTTTGTGCAGTCCTTCATATTCTCTTGACAGGAAGCATTTTCTTTTTCCCAGTTTAAGGCAATTGAGTATGTTTCTGGTACATCCATTTTATCTTCTTAGGGATCTAATAATCTTAATTGTAATATCTAAGCAGCTTCCACAGAGTCAGCAAATAAAGCTGGAGTAGATGTAAGAATGTACCATTCTGTATTTATGCAACTGAAAAATGTTTCTCTTGAAAGTCAAAATTTGATCCAAAATTTGAATGGCAAGACACTTTAATGATTAAAAATGTGAAACACAATATTTTCGTAGTTTCAAAATTACGTGAAATGTGACACCAAGCATATTTACTTCGTCATTAGGCTCAGAATTAACTAATAAGTCCTTTCTACCAATATATTTTCCTTCCTACCAACCCTTATTTTCATTGATAGACCTGCAATTTGGATTGTGTATTTGGATGTTTCAGATTTTTCAGAAAGATTAGTCAAGAAATTAGTGGCCTTTTGCTAATTGAAACAGTGTTCTTTGTGATGAGTTTTTTAAAAAAGTGATTTGACTTTCAAGCCATACAGTAGCTCTTCATGAGGATCACAACTCATTTTCATACACAAGAAATCATATTTCACTTCTCTGTACAGCAGACCACAGAATTATACTCCTTTTGATGGCTTTTCTAAGTCATCAATTTTTACACTGTAGCAATATCATTTGCTGAGCAGAAAAGAGCATAAGCAGGACAATCTTATCCTCACTTTCCTTTTTTTCCACTATCAGATATTGCCTTAAAAAAAAATCAGTGTTATTTTCTTTTCTACTCCATATAAGATGGTTTCTACTGCAGTCCGTTGCTTCATGGATGAAATCTGGTGTTTCTTGGATTGTCACCTGTTTTCAATTTTCTGCTGGCATTAGTTGATACTTATCTGAAGAATAAAAATAAGAGAAAAATTCTGTTACTATTCTGAAAGTAAGACTGCTTAAACATATTAGGCAGGTCAATGATAATTTTTAATGGATTACAAAAGGACCCTAGTGTATCCTGATTGTTCTGCAACTCTGATAATTATAAATTGCTGATGGTTGCTTTCTTTTCAAAAAGGTCTAGGAACCATCCGGGACTGAAATTATCAGACTCCTTCAAAAGAAATATTGGAATTGATACTTGGATAAACTTTTGAGATTCAAAGCCGATTTTCAGATTTCATAATTTTTTCTGGCATTGCAGAAGTAGGAGAGATTGAGTGCTTTGAGTGCATAAATAGCCACTCCATTGCAGACTCTGACTTCCACACTCTTCTCTCCTTATTCACTAACTCATTTTGTCTTAACTTTATTCTATTTAGTCTCTGTGCTTAGTCTGCCCAATAATTTCATTTTCTCCAATAAATATATTTTATAAGGGGCAGTTCCTTTTCACTGTTTCTCTGGCCCTGTATGGTCTTATATGAGTGGCTCTTCATTGCATATTTTGTATTTTCTTATAGTCTGCATTATGCATGTTAGTCTATATTTTTTACATCACTGTGTGTCAGGTATGCAATAGGATAACAGTCATACATACACAAGCACCATGGAAGGCATCAGTTCCAGAACAGGGTATCACATGAAACCTTTCAGCCATTTTATGTGTGCCATTGCAAAGCATGTTAGAAAGACAGATGTCAATAAACCCATGACTATAGCTGCCATCTTTAGTTTTTTGACTCCCACACTGTCTATAATCCTGTTAGTTTACATTTTTAACAAAACATGCCTTCTGTTCCTTTTTAATATCTTGCCACTTAACTACTTTAGCAATAGGAATAGCGCTTAGACTTATATAGGGCTTCACAGTATTTTACAGCCCTTTTTAAGCGGTTTACAGAGTCAGCATATTGCTCCCAAAAATCTGGGTCTTCATTTAACCAACCTCAGAAGGATGGAAGGCTAAGTCAACCTTGAGCTGGTGAGAATTGAACTGATGGCAGTTGGCAGAATTAGCCTGCAATACTGCATTCTTACCACTGCGCCACCACGGTTATATGGAACAACTGTGATTGATGTACATGCATGCTGATTGTTTGCCTAAGTTTATTCCAATATATTTTTCATTAGCCTTTACTTGGAAAAGCAGGAAATCCCAGACATGTTGGACTACAACAGTCAGAGTTCCCAGTAACCATAATTTACAAGTAACCTGGAACCTTGGGAGATCACCAAACTGGGAAAGTTTGTTGCTTTAATTTGGATCAAGAAAAAGTCAACTTTATTTATTGAAATGTAAAATTGTCTATGCTTCTTTCCCAATAAAGTTAGATATTTTGATTATAATCTATTGAATTCATATTTAAAAAAGTAATAAAATATGAAATCACATTTCTATATAATTGTAGGTTATATGTAAGTATTGGCAGAGGAAAACATGGGGAATTAATGAACATATGGATAAAATACAAAGGACAATAAACTGGTAATAGACTCTCAGTGTTTAATTTTGCTACCACATTTTAGGAATACCAAAGAGTACATTTTAAATGAGATCAAAATGGTGTAATGTATAATTTGTTCCTTAAGATGAATATTGTATTGTAAGTCAGGACTTGAATGATACCAAAATGTCCACACTAGAACATATCTGATCTCTAGAATGGAAAAGTCTAATTTCCTAATATTGTCTTTGGGAAGTAGTTTAGCAGCTGAAGCTGGGATTTGAGCTGAAGCTGCTAAAGCTTGAGGAAAGAAATCACAGTGCTTCACTCTTTTGTTCAGGATATTTTTAGACAGCAATGATCATAGATCAGGCATCTCTGGCCTTGAGAGCTTATGAATAGCTACTCTCAGATGAATAACCTACTTTTTCTATTCTTGATCCAGCAGGGCTCTTACTGTATTTTTTGACCTTTTCTGTTTGTATAGTATTGAACATAATTAAATGTCTATGGAGATTCTCAGTATCCAGGTCATAGTTGTCCCGAAGGTGCTTTTTCAAGAGGCAAATGGATTTTGTTTTTCTTTGAAGACATTTCACTTCTTATCCAAGCTGAAGAAACTTTTGGGATGAGAAGCGAAATGTCTTCAAAGAAAAGCGGTTAAGTCCAGTTACCTCTTGGAAAAGCACCTTTGGGATATTGAACATAGCATTTAAAATTACTGATTAAAATCATATAAGGCTCAGGCCTTAGGCTCATTGTCTGCTGGCAATGCGATTTTAAAATCTGAGATACAAATAAGTTAATTGATAGTATTACCAGAGAAAATGTTTGTGTGTGTGTGTGTGTGTGTGTGTGTGTGTGTGTGTGTGTGTGTGTCTATTGCAGCAATGGAACAAACAAAGTATCTTTTTTTAAGGTGTTGATAGGAAGTTTTTAGCTCTGTTGCATGTGTTGACATGATACTTAGAAAATCTTTATTTTTAAAAATGGAACACTTTAAACTGTCAGATAATGAAAAAACAGTTTGCTTGTTCCCCATTCACCACCACAAATCTTAATAGCAGTTTTACAGCATATGACTATATATATATGTCCTGAATGCACAGCTATCTTAAAAGGACCAACTTCAATTGACAACTCTGAAAGCTCCATATAAATAACACCATAATTCATCATTCTTAGAGACTGAAGAGCCACACTAATTCTTAACCCCTTTTCCCAAATGTCTTTTTACTTTACTTCATTGGGAATAACTTTTTAAATGGGCTATATAACATGCCAAAGAAGGTTAACTGTATGAATCTTATAGTTGCAAAAGGTCTTTAATCAAAAATCCGTTGGTGGAATTTATCACTGCATTTTTAGGGCTTCAAGGTATATTAAATTGAGAGTACACATGAATGTATCAAAAAAGTGAAGCGAAAGCAGACACAACATCCATTTTCTGATTTTATCTTTTAAACATTTTTTAAGACATTATCTTGATGTTGAACTGTTAATGTACATTAAGAAAAATGCATACATTATCCTGGTCAAATGAAAATGAAATAATATAGTGTTAAGTAACCTGTTTAATTGACATCGCTTAACAATAAAATAAAAAACCTAATTGAAAGACAATAGGAAATTAAATAGGCTGATAAACTGTGAGTTATGTTCAGTTTAGTAAAAGGCCATCTAAGGAAGAGAAGCCTACAACTGGCTATAAATTATCACTAAAAATCCATAGCATTTTGATATGTCTATCAATATCACGTTTATTAAGTTATGATGCGGAGATCTTGCTATGCAGGACAAATGAAGCTAATAAAGCATTTTTCCTTCATTATACAATATAAACTCACTCTTGGCTTAATCAAAGATTTCTTGCTATTCCAGAATAAAGAGGGCTTGACCTTGGAAATTGCATATAGTTTTACCAATCTTTATTCCTTTTATTACATCAAATATTTTTTTTTTTGGTCTTCTTTATGTGTCTTATATCAGTTGATGTGATTTTTAATACTGGTTTTTAAATGTAGTTTGGTTCAAAACAAATTCCCTCAGCTTTGTTCTGGTCCTGTAGCTTTCATTGACCACAAAAATAATTTTTGGATGCTTAAAGGCTCTTCCAGGACATAATGACTATTGGCAGTGGGAACTTCAAAGAGTTTGATAAATCAGCAGAATGTGTTTTTCCACCATCCACAGAATCCAATCTAAAAATGGTATCATCATTCATCACCATTACTTCAGACAATAAGCATTCTTTCCAACTTAAACATTAATCAGAATCTGTTTTCAATTTATTATTTTCCATTTAAAAATAAATTATGGATATAGTACCTCTTAGAATAAGCTAAACATCTTAGTATTATAAACTGTCATCAAGGGCAGATAAAAGTAGAAATAAATTTTTTGAAGGTAAAATCATATTTTCTTAAATGATTACAGTTTACTTAAAGTCTGAAGAACTTCTAAATGTAGATTCTCTGAGAAAATATAGTTCAGGCTAGCAAAACCATTGAATAATTTTGCCATTAGTGCTTCTAATATTAATATTTTATAATAATGTATATTCATAAAGGAACAAAATCAATGGGACTCTGATATAATCTTAAACATTCAAAATGAATTACCTACTTCAGAGTAAATACATTTTGGAAATAGAAGTAAAGCAATTAAAACATATTTAAAAAGGAATTCTATTAATGTAATGATTCATTCCTCAAAAAACAAAAACAAAGAAATGCACCCCCGATTGAAGAAATACATTGTTCCTATACCTTGACAAAGGACGTCTGTATCTATTTTCATATATATATATATATGTTTTTCTTTCTTTTTCGTAGGTTTTATGTGCATTTCTCTTTAGCCAGGTTCTACCTACGTAAACCAAGATATTATGCAGCCCTAGGTCAGTGAAATCACAATTCACTAGTTTCTGGGCTTTTTTTTTTTTTTCCTTCTGGCAGCCAGCAGACCCTTTGCTGCCCATTGGGAGACTAAGATAGATCTATTTCGGCCTTATAAGTTCTCATCAGTTATATATATATATACACACACACACACACACACACACACACACACACACACACACACATACACAGTATGTATGTAGTTTGTGTGTGTGTATACACACACACCTTTATGAAATAAAATTTTAAGTAACTCTTACACTTACTTGATATGTACACTAGAACTTTGTCTTTATTCAAAATTCAATGTTACAACTTTAGAATCATATGGTTCCAAGTAATGCTAAGATAAAGAAACTAGCCTATTTTGAGGGGAAAAATATAGAATATTTTTTTATTGGAACAAATCTTGTGAAATTCTATTACAGCAAATGTAGCTGGTGTTTTGTTAATAACCCAGAAAATGAATAGATTCGTGTAAATATTTACAAAGGCTAAGCATTAAAATCAATTTCATTGATTTAGTACAGCTGTGTTCTGATCACACTGGAAAGAACAAAATAATTGTCTGTGATATTAAGATTATAAAACACAGTTCAAAACTCTCACCTATCTCATTTTCTTATTTTCTGTATTATCAATTCAGAACACTAATAGCAACACACAAAGGTAGCTATAGTTTTTCGATTGATGGAGTAAGGGTGTGTATGTTATAATTATTGGTCCAAATTATACCCCCCCTCCCTCACACCATAAGCAATGGGAAAGCAACTCACCTATGCAAATTGTATCGTCTTCCTATTTTTCTAAAAGGAAGACTTTGCATTCAGAGGAAAGACTAGTCAAATCTTAAGCCTGATTGGCTTGCTCCATTTCTTTATATTTCTATTCTTGTTCCTTAAACTCAGAATCGGATTAAGCTATTTAATTCCCGAGATTATTAAGAATGGCCTACCTTTAATCAGCCTACAAATACCTACTCTCTTTTCCCCTCACGTGTATAGACAGATTCAGAACAGAATAAATTTTCTTCTTCTAATATGTTTGAAAATTAATCAAATGTAATTTTTCAGACATTTAAAAAGACTGAATATTAAACAGCAGCCAATTTATACTTGACTGCTGCAATGTAGGGGTTTTTTTTTGCCTATTATAGTGGGGCATCCATGGAGTTTATCCATTTTGACCCATCCACGGAGGGTCAAAAAAGTCTAGATGGGATCTACAGCTGGCGTGATTTAGCTCTGACAGATTGTGTCATCTGCCATCTTGACTTTTTAAACCGCTTAATGGACATTCCTGCCTTGGTATAACAGAAGAAAAACAACAACAACCAGGAGATATTTAAGGCCGGGAAGAGGTTTCACTGAATTTAATGGGGTTTCCTTTCCAGTAATCATGTATATGTCACAGGATTTCTCCTGTGACATTGTGACTATGACAGTACAACTAATTAAAGGACTGTGGCTCAAAATACAAACACTGCTTTAAAAAAAAAGAATAAATGTTGAAAGAATGGACAAGTTTCACTCATACTTTCTCAGACTTAGGCGAGATGTCCCACCCCGTTTGAAAAAAGGATGACATATCAGCATTTTAGAAAGAATATACACAATATGATGGGAGTACAAATGTTGTGCAAGGTTACAGTCTTTACCCATAATAACTGAAGGAATGGAATTAAACTGTAGAACAGCCAAACTAAATTGGAAGGGATTGTAACTACTTTTTATGGGTATGGAGAAACTATGTGATAGTTACAGGGTTTTAAATGGACTGTCTGGAAACAGCTGGGCCCGTTCAGCCTAACACAGGAGGTTGTTTGATTGGAATTGTATCCAGATTACTTGGGGAAAAAAAGACAGCTCAGCTCTCCCATGGGAAAGGTAGGAAAGTCCCAAATTGGCAATCAAAAAAGAAACAGAAATAGAAATAACTGCAGGTTATATTCTCCAGTTTCTCAAAAAGACCACATCTCTGTTACTTAGTGACAAAAGGTAATGATACCTGCAGCAATCAGAGTCAACATTTCCATTTTTCTCCTGAGTTCCAGAGAGCATCCTTCATCTTGGAGTACAAAAAGGAAACCAGGTTCATAGCTGCTGGTTAAAACTTGGATTGTGCCATTTGTTCTACTTTCTGCACTTTTCTTGTTTCAGTGTTAGTCCGCAATACATTTAACTTCAATTTGATATAATTGGACTAGAGATATTGAGCGAAGAAAATGCAGGGAACAACTTTGTTAGTGAACTCTCTACGGAGGCAAAATCTTTTTAATAGATGTCACACAGCTGAAGGGTTTAGAAGACTTTATTAAAGACCTCCAGGGGACAAAAAAAGCCAAAAGTCATTTTGCTAATTCCAAACTTCTCTCAATTTAAACAGTTAATAATATTAATGTAATATTGATGACACATTTAGAACAATTCTTAATCTGGTATGTTGAAGCAACGTAGGAACCTGCTTAATGCAAATATATCCAGAAAACCCAAATTATAACTTTATGATTTAGCAATGCTACTGGTAATGCTGTGCAAAACACAGCAAGCTTCTTATAAGAATGAGATTTTAGTTCGCATTGGTAATGCAATGTCTAATTCTTTTAATAGGATTTTTACAATTTTGTTTTAAGAACTGCATAGTACATTGGTAAGAATATTATACTGATACTATATTGACAATTTTACTGTGTTTAATGAACTAATGATAAAATACTACTTAATATTTTATACCAGGCATCAGAAATCATTTCAAGTATGCAATTTTATGAGCCCCTTCCCTTCAAAAATTGATATGAGCTTGGGTAACAACGTAGAGATTTTGTAAGATTTGGCTTATGAGATTTTTGGACACTTCTCATTTAAAATTTTAATTACATTAAAAAAACCCTTTGGAGGTCAATGGGTCTAATCAGGCTATTATAGGAACTATATGTACAGTGCTTACTATGAGAACACCCAACTTATTTCCTAATAAAATAAACTTTTATGAGCCTTCTTATCAAGAAACTAGGCAAAGTTTGATAAAATTTGTCAAAAGAACTGTAAGTATAAATATTACAGGGAGTAATTACAGGAGTGTGGGGAATGAAAGAATTGGAAATCTAAAATTACTACTATAATTACATTAAGTTTAATTTTATCTTAAAAGATGCAGTTATGATGCAATGCAAATATATAGCTTGCTGAATTTAAAGATTAGCATTCATTCCAATCCAATGTTTTATCAACTGATGAGCGATGGCCTGATGTGGTGGCACAAAAATATTTTGATTCTTTTTGCTGAGGATCTCTATTATCTGAAATGCAGAAAAAAAAAAAATCAGAACAAGAAACTCACCTTACACAGTAATTGAAAATCAGTAGTTAAGATCAATACCCAACTGTTGTTGATAGAAGACATTGGGAAAATATCATATCTGTCCATTACTTCTTATATAGGTAGTGTTTACTATTTCTGGAATGATCTACTCCCTGTTTTATTTCTAAAATTGGTGAAGAACCAAAGACTAAAAGCATCAATCCCTTTTTTTGAAACATCAATATAATATTTCACAATATGTTTCAACAAGCTAAATTTCAAAAAAGAAACAATGTACTGTATATCTGCTAATAATTCTTCACTCTGAACAATTAAAAATGAACAAATGGAAAGCATCCATTAAAACCAGAGAATGTCACTGATCACTCTGCCAGGTCATCAAATTTGGTAATGAAGAAAACAACTAAAGAGAAATATGAAGGAAAAACATGGGAGGCAAATCAGTTTATGAAATAATTGTTTTAGCGGTATTTTACCTCATCGCCGACAGCCTGAAATATTTTATGGAAATAGAACTCGTCCTAATAAAAATGGTCACCTCATTTATCTGATATCTCCAAGGAGACAATATTGTAAAACTGAATCAGGAAGATCATTACGCTTGGAATGAAAACCATGTATTTCTAATAGTTTTCAATGAAATGTACCTACACAACTTACTGGCAAGATCTATGGGCTCAACAGAGAAACAATTGCTTGTATCAATTCTTTGACCAACATATAATTTTCAATTTCAGTATAATCACTGTACAATAAGGAGAGTAAGAAGTTTAATTTGTTTGAGTGAAAAAGCACATCCATATTGTATGCCCTAACCAATGCATTCTGAGGACAATCAATAAGAAAAGGAAATTAAATTGAACTTTACCTGTTCTCTACTGAACCAGCGGGCATCTTCTATTTCAATGTTGTCAACTTTAATTTCGGTAGACACTGCAGCTGCTATGCATCCAATCATTAGGGAGGAGGGCATTGGCCATGGCTGACAAGAGACATACTCAACACGGCCCACTTTAACTCCACTTTCCTCTTCTACTTCCCTTCGAACAGCGTTTTCAATTGTCTCACCTAATCAAAGAAAGAATAGAACAGTTAATTGACACCCTTAATGCAAAGATTGTATCTTGTGCTTTAAAGTGCCCCAAAAGATATGAAACTTTCTTGAGCAATCATTTGTGGCTATTCAAACATCAGAGTGTAAACTTTTTTCAACAGAAAAATTCATTCTCAAAAAGCAAAAGAACGTCAAAGCAATATAAACTAATAATTCCAAGATGTAAACTGGTTGCAAGTCTTTGGTCCCCTTCCTGGCAGTGCTTTTACCAATGAGCGTATTTTTCAAGTCTAATTAAATTATTTCCATACCTCCCCCCCGCCCCCCCAGATTTACTGTACATGGATAACTCATATCCAGCAAGATAAAGAAACTGAATCCACACAGCTCATGGGAGCCACTGAAAATGAGAGTCACAGGCCATGTCTGCCATGTCTATGAAGGGGAGGGAATACTTGCCACAACAAATGTCTTGCAGCATCTTAAGGTTTGGAATAAGTTTTAATAATTTAAATTTCTAAAGAACAGACCTGTTTTGGAAAAAGATGTGCAAAAATCGTATTAATGGAAATTGTAATAGATTTTTATGCTAATCTTAATTAAAGACTGCAATAAGCTTTCAATTACTTGTTTGGCTTTATGGATTTCAAACCTCAATTGTAATTATCTGAACATCATTTTTCAAGAGTTGACGCCTGGGATCTTTGCATTTCAAAGCATGTTGACAGCCCCGGTTCAAATAAAGAAAGGACAACTCACAAACTGCTTTGAGAATAACAGCTATAGATCGTAATTATGCAAATATTTTAATATTTCTTTAATTTTTAGCTCAGTGCATCTATTAAGTTCAAACTAATGAAATGCTTTTCGATACACATGGACTTCCATTAATGGCATTTTTAATATATAGCAGAACTGAACAATCTTTTTCATGCTGAGAATCAAACTGCCTTACTAAATGATAGACATATCGTACAGTCAAAAATTGACATAGCTGAAGGAGGGCAGGGAATCATTTAAATCTAAAAAAAAAAATTAAAACATTCAAATAAAAAACACCAACAGTAGTAGAATACTTAAAACGGCAGTTTGCAATTGAATTCTGACAGCATGCTATGAAGTTTAATAGCATTATATGGGGAAGACTCTGGAGGCTGTATACACTTATATATAGGAAAAACAATCTAGTGATCACAGGATTTTTCTAGAGGTTGGTGTTTCCTACACATTTCACTCAGGGGTGGATTCTACTTACCTTTACTACCAGTTCGGAATGGGATCATGCGCACACGCTCGCTTCACTTGCGCATGCGCTTTGCTTCTGCACAGTTTATCTGTGCATAAACTGTGCATGCGCAGTTGATGATAACATCTGGGGCGATGGGTGGGGCCTCCCGCCGGTTTTACTACCGGTTCTTTCAAACTGGTCCAAACCGGGGGCAACCCACCACTGACCGTGAACTGGTCCAAACCCACCAACTCACCCCTGTAACTAATAATCCTGGTCCAGTAACTGTCCAAGCAATGCTTATTGCTGGGTACCCTGATGTCCCTCAAGAACAGTGGATGTATTATTCCATGACCATCTATCGATGGACCCAAAAGCACCATATATGCCTTATATGTCTTTTTTAAGCAACTTCAGCCAAATAATAAATATTTTAGGGATGTGCAAAAAGCTCTATGCATGATCTAGTTCTGAATAGTTCACCCCCCCCCCCTTTATCTGTAATCAGCTACTCTGGTCTGTATTTGGATTGAAACAGGATTGCTTTGTTCCAAAAATGAATTGAAGCACAGTAGTTCAAGGTTGAGGCAGGGGCAAAATAAGAGGAGGGAAAGGGCATGGCTTTCCTGGCCATGTCACATAGGGATATCTGAAGCAGAGAAGAGAAAGCACTGAGAAGATAGCAGTAGGATACACTGCATGAAAAGCAGAAACTGAGAGCAAGTGGGCAAGGATAGAGAAAATCACTGGCAGACAAGAAAGTGGGATATTCTGCTTTGGGGGCTGTTCTTTATTGGTATCAGAAAGGGAGAAGCACGGAGTCCAGTGTATTAATAGGGAATTACAAGAAGTGAGGGACAACATTAGGGAAGGTGTTGGGAAGACTAAGGATGGGCCGTCCAGGGAGATATGGTTGGGAAAATTGAAGAGTCTTTCTTGCCCTGCAAAAATTACTGTGATATGCCACAGATTAATATGTTGATATGTTTCAGATTAAACCCAGAATGAATAAAATATTCTGGATTTTACTACTACCAAACTGCAGCAAATCTGAAACAGTTCAGCAGAATTTCTATATTTGTTATTTCAAGAGCAAAACAAAGTGACAATAAAAGCCATATAAAGATCTTACTGGCCCATGTTCTGCAACTCTCAACTGGCCAAATGAATAAATAACTATATAAATAACTAAATTAATAAAGCATGCCTATCAAACTTATTTTGGTCTTTTAAAGCTGCTAGACATAAAAGAGTCATATATTTCCAAATTGCTTTGCTTTCTTACCTATCCTCAAGTCCTGTTCAGTGAACAGGAGGCTATTTTGACTCCTCTGATGAATCTATTCCAGGCACAATTAAATATTTCTGTTTTTGTGCTTTCTGCATGAAAGAATGTTAATTACCTTCCCTGCAAACCAATTTTATTCATTTTTATTTGAATCTGCACACGACAAAACTTCTGCCACACTGTTCTTGTATTATCCCCAAGGGATCCAAATCTTGCTTCCCAATTAGAACCAGATACTATCAATACGGAGAAATATTTCTTATTTATTCCTCCGCAGGGAATACAAGAGAAAAGAGAAAAACTGCCAAGAAAGCTGCTGTGAAGTTGTTCAGTGGCTGAACTTGAATAATATAATGAAATATGAGCTTAAAAACATTTTCAAAGGATTTCTCAGATAAAGTGCCTAACTTAAAATTTGAGGTGTCACTATGCAAAAGGCGATGACATACTGATGTACAGTATGTTCCTTAGTCAATCTACCTGAATTGACAAATGGTATTTGACAATTGATGTTGTCTCTAAAAAGCTGCCTTTGCTCTAAGTTGAATTGGGATTCACCACCAGCTAATTAGCAGATGACCACAAATTGACTAAAGTCAGATTCTTTAGGAATCCCTGTTCAGATTTCTAGCGATCCCAACCATGTTCATATAATTAATGCCCAAACATTATCTCCCTATTTTCCAATTGTAATTTAGAATAGAATAGAATAGAATAGAATAGAATAGAATAGAATAGAATAGAATTTTTTATTGGCCAAGTGTAATTGGACACACAAGGAATTTGTCTTGGTGCATATGCTCTCAGTGTACATAAAATAAAAGATATACTGCTTGCATTTCATTTCATCCTGTATTCTTCTAACCTGAATTCTTTAATTTCTACCTTAAAAGGAAGTACTGAAGACTGACCCAGATTCTAGTCCACCCACAACCACAGATGCTCATCAGGGTAACTGGTGGCCTGTCATCTTCCTTAGCCAAGGTACCTCAGAGAATTGTCACTCTGTGAAATGAAGACTATGTATGTTACCTTGAATTCCTGAATGAAGGTAAAGAAGGAATCCCTATGGGTTTTAATCTGCTAGTCATAGCTGCCTTTAGGGGGTGGTTCTTATCTCTGTTTCTTTAAGCATTGAGCCAGCACTGTCCAAAGACATTTCCACAGCATTGACTAGCATGACATCACGCCATAGTGCAAAGCATATAGTGAAACACCAAACCATTGTTATCTTCCCATCAAAGTGGTAACTATTTAACTACTTGTATATACATTTCATTCATTCATTCATTCATTCATTCATTCATTCATTCATTCATTTATTCATTTATTTATTTATTTATTTTTTTCCAAAAAATTATATGCCGCCCTTCTCCCTAAGGACTCAGGGTGGCAAACACAGGTACATGCTTTTGAACTGCTAAGTTGGCAAGGGGCTGAGGCAAATGAGGGGAGCTCATTCGATCATGTGGTGGCAGGATTCGAACTGCTGAAGTATAGACTTTTTTCAGGGTATTTAAAGCCCCTGAGCCACTGCGCCTGAATGAAAGTATGATTGATATATATATATGGCAAAGATCCTCAATATATATGTGACTGGAACTTCAGTCATTTTTCAGGAGCAGAAATGGTAACATGCTTTTGTCAAAGAAGGTGCTATTTAGAAATCAATTCAATACTGTGTCCCTGTCGTCCCCCCTACCTGCACAAAAAAAGTTTTAAAACAGTATACATATAAAGAAAACTTACCAGGCTCTACAAATCCAGCAAGGCAAGTGAACATGCCTGGGGGAAATCTTTTTTTTCTTCCCAAAAGGCAATGGTTGCCTTCTGGATGAATAACTTGCATTATTACTACAGGATCTGAAACAGAAATTAAGCAGAGGCATAAATATTTAAATCCCTTTTACAAAAAGCAGCAAGAAGCATAAGCCTATCCGTTCTTATTTAGCATTGCTATTATCTCCTTTCACTGCTTGAAACCCAGTTCTCACAAGAAGCCCTGTAGCTAGGCAAACTTACTGCAGGATTCTTTTTTTTTTTTAAATCATGTTTTTGTTTTTTTTAAACATTGATGCCTTCTGGAAACCTAGGCCAAAAGCAAGACTCAGGAGGTAAATTGCCTGAGCCTGCTGCATGATTTTGATAAAAACACTGGAATAGTGACCAGTTATATACATCAGCAATTTAATCAGCAGGAATTTTTGCTTTCCGCACCTTCCAGTTATTAATGAATGGCTTGGTGATAATGTTTTGATTTCCAAATGCAATGTTTAAAGGACAATAAGACTTGGTTAGTATAGTGTAATTTGTAATTTTCCCTTCATTATAATTTTAAACAGACCAGTCTTTGGACATTAATTATTGAAGCAAAAAGGCAACATGTAAATAGTCTGTTAATAATAAAAAGAAGAAAATAATGGAAAAACATGACTATCTGATTGTTTCTATAAACAGAAACACAACAGATTTGGTAGAATCCAAGAACGGGCTAGAAACACACAATTGAAATCAGAGCTGCTGCACTTTTATTACTGTAGCCCTTTCAGGAATAATATTTTCTAAAACAGGCTAAATATAACAACTCTTCATTGTATGATAATTTTTTTTCTCCTTAGTTCTTCCCATTCTGTATTCTCCCCACTTCTTTCTCTCTTCTTCTACCAATCTTTTTCCACAATCTTAATACCTGCATTTGCTACATTGTCCTGTCTCTTTTGTCAGGTTTTGACATTTTCATTCAGAAAGATGTCCTTCAAAAAAATTAAGAGAGAGATTTCAACCAGTGATCCCTACATAGACCATTCCTTTTGTCCACTCTTTCTTCTGCTTATCTGTAGGATTTTTAAGTGGGGTAAAAGAAAACAGACAAAAGGTATGGTAAAAAATGTGATGTAAATATGATGGTTACTCTGCCTCAGAACTTGCATTTTTAATGGTTTTTTAAAAGTATAGATACACAACCCAGTTCTTTCATACTTTTATATTCAATATTCTTGTTTCATTTCCCCCCCTCTTTCTGTTGGCTTCTCATCTTATTCTCTCAAAATGACAGATATGACAATCCCATTAGGTAAATATGCTTCAAAGACTGATGACCTGTGGCAAATTTATATGCTGCAAAGTACTGAGCAGGAGTTTCAAATTTTGCTGACTACTTGTTTTGTTAAAGAAATTTTACTGGAATTACCAATTGTTGGCTCAGCGATCTTGCATATCTCATCCTGATCACATTTTTTTTTAGTTATCTGAATATATAATAGATATTTACTCCTACTTTCAACTAACTCATAGGAAATATAAGGAATGTGCATCATCCAAGATCCAAAAGAAAAATAAAAAGATAAGAAACACATCTATAATACACTTTGAGAATGAGGTGAAGAAGTTAACAAAAAATAAACAGGAAATTAATAGTAAGCAGTTATGTAAAACTGATCTAAATAAAAACATAAATGCATCTTTTAAAATGACCTGTAAATAAATACATAAGGATGAAAACAAGCAAGGATATACAGTATATGGTGGAATAATTATTTAAATACTTTAAACTTGGTTATATCTGAAGCTGAAGGAATGCAAAATCTCTAGAGAGAACATAGTGGTAATGTTTACTCAGAATAGTAAATCAGATGCACTGTATTGTTTTGCCATCAGCATCCATAGAAAGGGTGGGGAGAGGAATAAAAACTGGCAAGGAAGCTGAAATGTAAGCTGATCCCTTATGTATATGCATCACATATACATATGTGTATTTCTTTAGCTTGTCTTTTTTTTACCTCTATCATCTGCCTGCAGATTCCACTGTGTTTTGTACTCTCAAATGAATCCTCCTTCTATAATTATGTGGCTAAACACATTTTTAAAATGTTTGCTTTTAGACATCTGAATACTTGATCTTACATTTAGTTCATCCATAACCCAGGACATGAGGTAACCTTGTAATCCCGAGATGTTTGCAAGCATAAAGCAGATTTGCCAGGGGTGAAATGCTACCGGTTCGGGCGAACTGGTAGTAAAAAAATGCTACTGGTTTGGGAATCTGATCATTTCCGATGATCAGCTGTGACAGTGATTTATATTAGCTAGAATCGTTGGATTTCCTGCTTTCTAGCTAATCTAAATTGTGTGGCACAGCGGATTCCCCCCCTCGCTGTTCTACTTACTTTTATAGACTTGGAAGGCTTCAAAATGTTCCTTTTTTAGTGCTGTGTGGGTGCGCCTCAGGCATGCATGCACGCAAGAAGGATGTGCTCAGTAGCAGACTCACAGAACCGGTAGCAGACTTCAGAGGATTTCACTGCTGAGTCTTGTTTTTCAACTCCAGAGGAGGAAAACATCAGTATTTTTATGATGGCAGGAGGTTTATTAATATAGGCTACATCAGCCCACAAATTTAGCTTATCCATAAGCACATACGATACTAATAAAAAGGGAGAATCTAATTTTAATGAGGTCTATTGCCTTATTTTTGTACTTGCAAATATTTATCAAAAATGTACAAAAACTATATATTTTGTAGCCCGTTTAATTTGGATGAAAGAAAAATAAAGTAATATTAGAATTGCAAGGTTTCAGTGGTATGACTTTTTATGGTACGTTAAAGTTAATGTGGTTTTTAGAAATCACTATGTAAGAGGTGCCATATGTATGAAAGAAATATAAACTCAAGTTTTGCCCAAAGATACATTTATTAACCTCAGCAAAAGCAACATTCTTTAGTAGAGAAATGGCTAATATATCAAGATTGAGAAATACAGAATAGAGAGACTGACAAGACAAGAACTGAAGTCAAGAGAGCAATTGACTGTAGATGGAAATTGTTTTCAGTGTTTTTTATCTACACAGTTAAAAGAAAGGTTTAATATGGATAAAAAGACAATTGGAAAAATATAAACAATTTGAAGTTTGGCTATCCACAAATGATGAACGTATAATAGCAAAAATGTATCAATTTTTGTTAAGATTTGAAACAGAAGAACAAGTTAAAGATCTCATGATAAAATGGTATTAATTTTGGTTATAATACAGAGGTAGACACTTGGTAGAGAATGTGGGTAACCGATATTAAATTTACAATGTGTCATAATTTAAGAAAAAATATATAAAATGATTTATCATTGGTATATGACACCAGATAAATTATCAAAAATGTATAAACAATGTTGGTTATATGAAAAACACAAGAAAACGTTTCACGCATGGTGGACTTGTGAGAAAGCTAAGAAATTTTGAATATACATTAACACACTGATGCAAAGGGCTTATCTATTAATAAGTATAATAATACAATTAATGATTAATATTGTAAATCAACCAGAACTCTTTGTTGGCACTTCCAACAAAGCTTAACAAAAACAGAAATAGCCACATTCCACTTCAGCAATAGGTACGCAAATTATCAGCCTTTAATGAAGTTCTGGAATTGTATTTTACAATGTAATGATTCTCCGAAGTATCTGGGAGTAACATTGGACAGATCACTAACCTTCTGGTAACACCTGGAAAAAAAATCTATAAAAATTGAAAAGCCACAACAATTTACTAAACAGACTGGCTGGAATATGCTGGGGTGCTGATGCTAACACCCTACGAACAACAACAATGGCTTTGGTTTATTCCTCAGCTGAATATTGTGCCAACATGTGACTTAACAGCACCCACACCAAATGATTGATGTCCAATTTCACAGATAATATGTATCATTTCTGCAATTGCATCCCACTCCTTAGCAAAACCTTCCCAACTCACATTAGAAGACAACAAGCAGTCATTTTTCTATGGTCCAAGAGGCTGAACAACAAGGCCCTCCCAATACACCAGGACAATGAACAGCCCATCACAAGACTGAAATCCCATAGGCCGGCTTGGAAAACAGCTATTCACTTAACATCTATCTGGTTTAAACCCTGTAAATGCCTGGAGAAAGGAATGGTCCAAAGTGACTTCTTGTGACCTGATCATTAATGATCCCTCTACAAAACTACCTGGTTTTGACCTGCCTTGCTTTGTCTGATCGAAACTGAACAGAATTAAATGTGATACTGGAAAAAGTGCCTCTGACCTGTATCAGTAGGGATGGAAAGGTTCCCCTTGTTGTGATTATGGTGCTGATATGCAAACTATTAAACGTATTATGCAAGTTTGTCCACAATGTATGCTCCCTGGTTTCCCAGAAGATCTGCATGAAGCAATGCCAAAGGCGATTGAATCGGACATCCGGTTATAAGGCCATTGCCATACCCTCATAGACATTTTACTTATACCGTCATAAATATGAGTCAGTTGCCAAGCATCTGAATTTTAAACATATGACCATGGGGATGCCGTAATAGTTGTAAGTGTGAAAAACAATTATACTTCACTTTTTTCAGTGATGATGTAACTTCGGTCATTAAATGAATTGTTGTAAGTCAAGGGCTACCTGTAATTATGTGAACATACATCAGAATTGTTTCTTGTAGGAATAATGAAAAGGAAATACAGAAAAAAACCCAACATATATTATTCTACACATGACAACTGCAGCAAGATTGTCCTTCGCGCAATGTTGGAGAAGCTCAAATATACCCTCTAAAGATTTAATAATTAAAAAGATATTGGATTGTGCCAAGATGGGCAAAATGACCATTGAATTGAAAGGATTGATGGACTCGGATTTTTACATAATATGAGGGAAATGGTATAATTAGATCGAAAATAGAAAAAAAGGAAAATAATAGAATGTAGATTTAGTAAAAATATATAGAGAATAGATGAATACTAGTGTGATGATGTGTAAGTGGTCACAATAATGCACAAGAGTTGAATAATGATTGTTTAATTGTAAAAATTCAATAAAACAATTTTTTAAAAAAATGAATTGTTGTAAGTCAAGGGTTACCTGTAATTATGTGGACTGTGTATATATGCTTCTGCCATGTTCTCATCATACACTAAATAACAATGGAAATGTTTTTAAAACATCAAAAGCCATGCTTTCACATAGTTGTTCTACTTGCTGACCTGCAACTCTCTTATGCCATACATACAGCTGTAATTTTTAGTTTAATGCTTGAGTTCAGAGACAAATCAGAATTCATATTGCTATATATTACTCTGATTTTTCTTACTGCCATTAGCAAAGAAATAGCAACATGCTAGAAATTCTCTTACCAACTCTTGGGAAGCATGTATTATGAATTCCCTGATGGCTGGGGCAATCTTTTTTTAAGCACAATTTCCTGTAGCCTCCATCTTCTAATTTAGTTCCACTGCCACATGTTGGGCAAAATTGATACCGGTTGTCCCATGCTAGCACAGATCGAGCCTGAGCGATGATTCCTAAAAATGGTCATATAAAACATTTGGTCAATGCCTAGCTTCTTTTCTGCAGATACCACAACACCAACTTTCCAATGTATCATTAAAATCAATGCAAAAATTTGCTTTTAACAATTTGGATACCGTTCAGAGGATTTTTTTTGTCATTACCTTTACATTTGTGATATTTCAGAACATTGAAATGGTCTAGCCCTTAAATAATAGCATGCTAAAAGTTATCAATAGAAGTGTAACCAGAACAATTCTCTAACATTCAGCTATTAACAAAAACATAATCCTAAACCATAAGAAAAAAATAAAAGGAATTTAACAAAAAATGAAACGAGACAAGAAAGGCAAACAATTTCTCTAAATAGATTATCAATGCCTAATTTGTAGACTTGCAAATACATTAGAAATTAAGGCAATCTATTACAGTAGAGTGTAATAATCGCATAGAAATGACATGAGATAACATGAGCTAATACTTGTTATAGATCAGGGGTGTCAAACTCACGTAATTATGGTGGCGTCACATGACATTATTGGGACTTTTTTCCCCTTCGCTAAACTGGGTGTGGGTGTGGCCAGCACGTGACGCATCTGGCCCACGAGCCGCAAGTTTGACAGTCCTGCTATAGATAGTTCAGTTAGAACCAACTAAGGATGTGCATCAGAATCCCTTAAATCGTAAGTCAAAGCAGGGATTTTTAGACTGATTTTGCACAAAGTAAAGTGAAATACCTACAAAGTGACCCAACCTGTATTAGGAATGTTACAAAAGACTTTCCTTACTTTTGCCCCACTACATAAGCAGAACCTTACCAGCTTCATTTTCAGATAATTGCAACAGTGCAGGCATTGGTGGATGAAGAAAATAACAACCAGGATGCTCTTGTAAAAAACTATCAGCTGCTGTAGCATCTATACTAAGTGCAAACCAGGTAATTAGGCCATTCTCATCTTCTTTGCCTGTATTTGAATCGTTTGTATTTATTCTTTGAGGTTCCACTCCCATAAAAATTGTAGTGATAGTTTTAGTCTGCTCCAGATAACTCTTTATATCCTTATAGAAAAATTTACCAAGCTTAACCTTTGGATATTGGAAACTACGTTCACCATTATCTGATATAACTAAAGGATTTAAATTTGAAAAAATGATGTATATGGTTGTTGGTTCCTTCTGTTTCATGCTCAGCCACTTTGAATCTACTCTCTTCTCACTTTTCCTATCCAAAAATGTCTTGCAAAAATAATACTCCTGTTCTTTGACTTGATAAGTGAAGAAAAATGGTTCCAATCCACCTTCCACATTAGCTAATAAATTAGCTATGTTTTTATAGCCCCAAAATCTAGCAATATCCAATGCAGTCTGGTTTGAAGTATTGGTTCTGAACCTGTCACACCTTTAAAACAAAAAAATTCAAAAGTTACTTCGTGGTAACATTTTCAGACAGAATGTCATATGATATGAGGTAACATAAAAATATCCTAATCTCACTGTTGATATAATATCAACACTGAACACAGTAAAGTACATCATGGCCCAGTTAGGATTTTGAACTACCACAAGTCTCCATTGCAGAACATAAGGAACAAGAAGATATGTTTTTGAGCAGTGATAAAACAACAGGTAGAGAAAAGGAATGAATGATCATTAAAGAAGGCAAAAACACAACTCAGTCCTTAGAAAGTAGAAAGCATGACAAAGTAGCTGAAAATAATTCTGAGTCTTTCAAAACTGTTGTTAGCCCTTTGAAGTAAATCAGGTCAACAATTAGACATGATAAGAATTCCAGGAATTCTATTTTATTGTTATAGGTGTAGTATCAAAACCTTCAAAGTATGCCAGAGTTTCTTTTCACTCCATTTTATACCAAACAGAATCAAGATGCAGTTAGTTTTGGTTTCTTTATCACGCTTCCCACTTTCCTAGGACTCAAGTCTATGTAAACCCAGGTTCACAGCACTTAGTCATGATCTTGAACCAGTCACTATCTCAGCTTACTTCACACTATTGCCTATAAGTTAATAAAATGAGATAAATAAAATAAACCAGTGTGCATTGCCTTGAATTCCCAGTGAAAAGGCAAAATATACATGTTTTCTTTTTCATTTTAGCTGCATTTAATGTAATTTTTGCTTTGTTCATTTTAACTTGTGTGAATCTAAATCAGGGGTGGGCAAATATGGCCCCTTTATGACCTGTGGACTTCAACTCCCAGAATTCCTGAGTCAGCTTGGCTGTCTCAGGAATTCTGGGAATTGAAGTCCACAGGTTGTAAAAGGGCCACGGTTGCCCACCCCTGATCTAAATGAATGTATTGCTCTAGCAAATAGCATCACCTCTACAGAGTAGTAATTTTCAAAAAGGCGGTAACTTTAGACCAGTTGAACAATGTTATTTTTGTTTTTTTTTCCTTACCCCTTATCAAGAAGAACTCGCACAATGTCAAAGTGACCATTTCTACTCGCATACATTAGGGCCGTCCAACCATTCCTAGCAGTTTCATTGATAAGAGAAGGAGCATGATCCAGAAGTGTTGTAAGCCTGGCTTTGTTTCCATTAGCAGCAAGCTGGTGAAGCTCAGAAATCAGTTGCTTTTTTGGATTTCCTTCACTATCCTCCATAATCTGTTTGATTAAAAAGGTAACATAGGCTGAAAAACTCGATCAAAGTACATTATGTTGATCTGATTTCACATTTATAGGGTAACCAAATTCAAAAGACAACAGACATGGCCTAAAAATAATTCAACAAAACAAGAGGCTACAAAGAAAGTAATTCAAAGTGATTCTTCTGGAATAAAGCTTTCTACTTAATGAACAGTAAGCAAAAGTCTAACAAAAGCAGAGTTGAAAAGTACCACTTGCTGTTACCACTTCTCTTCTTGTGCAGGCTGCTAATTTGGACTGCAGCTTTTGATTGATTCTTGGTTGCTACCATACTTCTATCAAAAATAAATCCCTTCTCTTGCCAGTTGTTAGCTCTATGATGTTAGCTATCATAGTGATAATGGCTGCTCTACGTATAACTTACTAATGCAAAAATAACATACTAGGACTTCATATTTCACATGGCTTAATCAGGTGTAATAAAAGCATTATCGCTACGTCTCTGGGACTCATATTGAAAACTTTTCTTTCTCAGCACATTCAAGCATCAAAAAACATTATTCTGCTCTGCAGGAATAATAGATGCATTATTGAGATTGTTTTTGAAATTCCTTAATTTTAACACATTTAGTATTGGAATAAATTCAAAGTGATTTTATAGGATCTGCTTGATGTAGGCTAATGCTTCTCAAGCATTAGTAATAGAACTAGTTTTGTTTGGTGGTTAAGGTACTAGACTAGAAACAAGGAGTCTTGAGTTCAAATCCTGTCTTAGGCATGGATGCAAAGCAGGTGGCTTTGAGCCAAACACTCACCCTCAGTCCTAAACAAGCAGTGACAAATCAATTCCAAAATCCTTGCCAAGTCACTAGGATACAAAACTGATTCAAAGGCACGTCCCCACCCCAACAACCTTGCATTTTGTGTCTGAAAATACACCCCACAAGGACTCAGTCCTCAAACAAATGAGGGCTTTATTTCACAGGCGCCAGGCTTCTAGTGAGTTTTAATTGCCAGGCAAGGAGTCAGATTGGGATTAAAAAACTCAACTTCAAATGTTCTTGGCTACAATAAGGGAGAGAACTGCAGTTGCCTCCAAGCCTACATCCTTAAGATTTCCTCGTGGCTTCCCATCCCAGTTTGATCCTTAGTTTTTCCAGGACAAACGAGGGTCTAGAGCAGTGTTTCTCCACCTTGGTAGCTTGAAGATGGGTGGACTGCAACTCCCAGAATCCCCCAGCCAGCTGTTGCTGGCTGGGGATTCTGGGAGTTGCAGTCCACCCATCTTCAAGCTACCAACGTTGAGAAACACTGCTCTAGAGCCCATTTCGAATCCAGGAACTGGATATTGTATATCAGTCCGACATTTGTACTTTTCCTGTCTGAAACAATATTGGATTTCTCTCTGTAACTTTAAGAAGCTTTCCCTTCGTTTTTCCATCCACCGCAACATACTGGGAAATGGACGCTTGGTAAAGGCTTTTTTTGCCTGCAGGCTCAGACTTGGGTTCGTTTCAACGGACGATGAAGAGGATCTGCGGAACTAAGGGGAAGGGGAGTGCGGTTAAGTCCAGCAAAGGAGCGGGAACCCCCCTCCCCCCCCCTGCGCAAGGAACATAAAAGTTCCTCGAAGACTTTCCGTTTACCTCTACTCCGCTGCGGTTACCTGCACGGCGTCCTTCCGGAGACGCATCGAGCGTCAAGCTTTGCATCTTGGGAATTGTAGTTTCTTGCTCAGAGAAAGCAGTTCAACAGTATTTTAAATAGTCCTCTTTCATACTAGCTCCCGCACAGATGCTTTTAGTGTGCTTGGCCTCACGTAAACTAAAGTAAACCAAACCAAACCAAACCAAACCAAACCAAACCAAACCAAACCAAACCAAATAAAATAAAATAAAATAAAATAAAATAAAATAAAATAAAATAAATAAAATAAAATAAAATAAAATAAAATAAAATAAAATAAAATAAAATATAGGTTTCATTTAAAGAGTTGTGCCCGGTCAACAGCAGTTGCTTGGCTATTGCTTTGCAAATTCCTTACTGTTTTAAGGGTATATATATAAATTTAGGCACCTTTCTCTAACAGCCTCTGGTATCCTGGTAGGTTGTATTTCCAGGGAAGCATTCATTGAATTGGCTGCAAACTGTAACTTGTAATTTGTTTTGGGTGATTTAAGATATGCTGAGGCTGAAATGCTTTCCTAATGAATTCACTGAGATGTATTACTAGGAAGACAAGCAAATTAAACAAAATTGATGTGGCATGTTGTCTTCATAATAGTTTGCGTATTTTCAAAAACAAAAGGCTCAAGCTTATTAAAAACAATGGAAACACATACACCCACACACCCACACACAGACATACAGATGTATGGGTTTTTAAATTTTTTGCTAAATCCTTTGTTGTGTATTGGCTTCCCAGAAGCATCAGGATTCCCACTAGATGAAAACTCCCATTAATTCATCAGAGATCTCCCCCCCCTCCCAAAAAAAGTGAAAATTCAATTTTTCCTATTTGCCATGTGTAGATTGTGACTGGTTTAAATCAATCTTAATTTAAGTTACTTTTTTATAAGTCTACTTTGAATCTGATAATTTTGGACAGCTTGCTCTCTGATCTTATATCTGGAATACAATGAAAAGGATTTTAATGCCACCAAATTAGAAAATTATTTTCATTATTTTTTCCCATTATTTTAAGAGAGATTTGTTTTTTTCAAGGCTGGGAAAAAGTGCATGCTGACTGCCAATGAAGGCTCCCTGCCCCAGATTAAATATTCTTTTGTTTTAATATTAAAAGAGGCAGGATAGAATATTTCCCCAAAGAAGAAATAAAGAAACATGCTCTTAAAGGCAGAAAGGAGCCCCAGTCTTCTTGCTATAGGCAGATGCCTGAAATCTTTAGTGATGGATATTTTGTGCCCATTAAGAAATCCAAGACAGCCTATTCATAAATAAAAGGCCTTCAGTCCAGCTACCAGAAAGTTGATGGGATAAGAATTTACACTCCTCCAAAGACAGGACATGATATTTAGGACGTAATAGGATTTATCCACCACCATTAGAATAGCAAAAGGCACAAGGCTCACTACATTGCACAACCCCCTGGAGCATCTCAATCAGAACCCTATAAAGATGCATCCACTGGTTCAGTCATTTGGACACCCACCCCAGAAACATTGCTGCTGTCACTGAAGTTTCTGGCATCCAAATAAACAGAATCCTTCTTTCCAATTAGCCTTCATTTTATTTCCAGCGTCTTTCTCCCGGCTTGGAGCCAGTTCAATCTGATTTTATGTACCAAGTAAGAGAGCAATTTAGTAATTACAAGTTGATTCAGTAAAATCAACATATTTTGCAAACATCTTGTGAGGTTGCATAACCAAATCATTCATACTTAGGGTTATCTCAAGAAGCAAAAGAAGACATGGACAAAATGGGAGGAGGTGGATACACTATTTAATTTTCTTGACATTCATAACCAAAAAAAAAAAAAAAAGGATTTGGCCTACATGTTTATGATGTAGGGGGTCAGGAAGCAAATTAGTCTCACTTATTCATTGTAATATCATTTGTAGGTGAACCTTTTCTGTTGTATCTAATTATTATGCTATCTTGATACGGTGCCTTTGTTAAATATGTAATATCTAATATAAAATTCTCTAATTTGGCCCAGTTTTATTCTATTAGCAAAAGCAGCTTTAAAATCTATGAAAACAAAACGTTTACCTTTCAGGGAAATAGACATTTCCTGCTCGATACATTAATCAATTGTTGACCTGCCCTTTCTAAAAGGAGCCTCAATGTTTTTTAAAACAAAATATTCTTCAAGGTAAAAAATTAATTTTTCATTTAAATGTCTTCCATAAAGTTCTCCAGGACCGATGGCAAGCTGATTGTCCTATAATTGGCAGATTTTTCTGTAACTGCATTTTTATATAGCAGGAATCTTATAGCCCTATTCCAGCTTTACGGGATCAAATCAGAGCTTTCTATAGTCCTCAATTTACAACAGTTAATTGAGTGACAGTTTGAAGATACAGCAGTGCTGAAAAAAGTGACATGACATGTGATCACAATTCAGACACTTGGCAACGGATTCATATTTATGATGGTTGCAGTGTCCCATGGTCATGTGATCACTAGAATAGAATAGAATAGAATAGAATAGAATAGAATAGAATAGAATAGAATAGAATAGAATAACAGAGTTGGAAGGGACCTTGGAGGTCTTCTAGTCCAACCCCCTGCTTAGGCGGGGGAAATCCTACACCACTTCAAACAAATGGTTATCCAACGTCTTCTTAAAAATTTCCAGTGTTGGATCATTTACAACTTCTGCAGGCAAGTTGTTCCACTGATTAATTGTTCTAACTGTCAGGAAATTTCTCCTTAGTTCTAAGTTGCTTCCCTCCATTGCTTCTTGTCCTGCCCTCAGGTGCTTTGGAGAATAGCTTGACTCCCTCTTCTTTGTGGCAGCCCCTGAGATATTGGAACACTCTGAGAAGCAAAGTCGATGGACAGGCCAGATTCCCTTAATAACCATGTTACAAACTTAACAACTGCAGTGATTCACTTAACAACTGTGGCAAGAAAGGTCAAAAAATGGGACAAGTCACTTAACAATGGTGTCACTTAGTAACATAAATTTTGGGCTCAATTGTGATAGAAAGTCAAGGGCTACCTATACTGCAGTGAATAGTATCACCAATAAAGGACGCCCCCAAACTAGACTTGTTTAAGGAGTTTGATGGAACCTTGCCAAATTCCATAAACATTGATTTGAAACATTTTTAAAAGCTGAATAATATACAGCAATCTAGGACTGAAGGAACAGGGAGAGCTCTGGAGATTAATTTCCAAAAGGTTTTGGAGTCTTTTTTTTACAGAGAAGAATTTATTAATTATAATTACGAATATCTCTCTGCTTCTGTTTCTTCTGATGTATTAATCTCTTATATATTTTTGACTCTTAATATCTTAAAGGGAGGTTATTGTAAATTACACTTTCTATATGACAAATATAAAGCATTTAATTTTTTTCTTAGCTGCATCAAACCAACAGGAAATAATACCCATTTGAGTATTTCTTTGATTTGATGCAGATACTATAGTTTAATTGATTAGATTTGTTAGAATATTAAAAGATTTTTTTTCTGCAAAAGTCCCATCTTTTATTATAGATGTTCTCAAATCTAAAGCTTGAGTAGAATTTAAAGTCTGACTAAAATAATTACTTAAATGTTCTGCCCAAGTAATCCAGCAATATAAATTCCTTTCCTGAAGAACATCCAGTGAATAATGTTGGGTCAGATGGACATCTTTATCATTGGTTAACAAAACTTAAAATTATGGCTTGATGATCACTATGTGATCTGAAGCCTGACTTTAAATAATTTGACCAATTGGTTAATGTTAATCAGTAATCTAACATGCTGGTGTCCCACTCACAAATAAATCTGAATTCACCAGCACAGTTATGTACCATTGTACCAGGGATGGGTTCTACTTACCTTTACTACCAGTTCTGTGACTACTGAAAGTAGTCAATCTTCAAAATCAATGTGATCTAGTAATCCTGCCTTGTCCAAATAGCACAATGATTCCTACTTTCTGGATTACTAGTCTGTTTATGTTTTGTTGCTTGATTTGTGTTGTTAATTATTTTTCCTAATGGTTTGATTAGCTAATCTTTCAATTTGCAGGGTTGATGTGCAATTGGCTGACATTTTAAAAAAAACCAGATACAATGATAGATTTTTTTTAATAAATAGAATTCATGTGTTTTAACCTAACTATTGCTTTAAAATAGTATTTGACCTTACTAAATGTATTTATAGTGATGGGTGTAATTAAATATTGAATCAGTAGAAATTTAATTTCTGTTCCAACTGAAATGACATTCATTTAGGTTGTGGATAAGTTATGAAGGCCAACTCATAATAGGATTCCAAGGTATATTAAACAATTAGTAATAACATTCTTATATTTACTGCATTAGTGGTTAACCATAGTTGGATCTTCTGGGACTGAAGAGCATAAAGATTGCTCTGTATCAATGGTTGAATATGACGAACAGTTGATTTTTTTTCTTCACACCAAGTCTCGTTGTCATTAAATTAGAATATATGCTGTTATTATTTTTATAATCTATGTTTGAAACCCTCTTTGGTTTCTTGTTTAACTTCCTATAATATCTTTCTTTTCCTTTTTGTTGTTATTTGGTGCATTCATAATATTAAACAGCCTATTAAATGTTAGCTTCCCAGCTAGTTTACTTGCTTTGTAGTTTATATTTTTTACTTTTTCCTTCAGCTGTCCTTGTTATGATTTAAACCTTTTAAATAATATCTTTCTATCAGAATTATTTGAGTTTCAATTCTCTTTCCTGGAACTGTTAACTTTGGGCATTGTAAAAAGTTATTCCATTGCCCTGACCCCAGGGGTGGGCTTCAAAAATTTTAGCAAAGGGTTCTCTGCCCAGTTGCTGAGTGGGTGTGGCCATGGTGGGCGTGGCCTAGTCAGCCTTCTGCACCATGGCAGGGGTCGTGTTTTTGCCTCCCTGTGCTCTGAAGGCTTTCCAGAGGCTTTCTTTGAGCCTCTGGGAGGGCGAAAACAGCCTCCCCAAGCTCTGGAGGCCCTCTAAAAGCCGGAAATGGGCCTGTTTCCAGCCTTCCCGAACTTCTGGTAGGCCAGTTTTTCGCCT